CCTGGATGCCACATGGTGTACGGGTGTAAGGTTTAGATTCAGGACTTAGGATTTAGGGTTTGGGATTTGGGGACGTCCTTCATGTAAAGCAAGGCCATAGCCAGTCGTTGAAGTACCGGGTCTATGCCCCGACAGGGGTCCCAGATCTCTACAGGGCTTAGACGGCGAATTCTTGGGCTGCTTCTTGGACTCACTGGGCCTCCAGGCCTGCTAGGGTTCAGGGATTAGGGTTTAGGTAGGGTTTAAGTAGGGTTTAGGGTTTATGGTTTAGGTAGGGTTTAGGGTTTATGACCTAGGGTTTGGGGGGATTAGGGTTTAGGGGGGTTAGGGTTTAGGGTTCAGGGTTTAGGGATTAGGGTTTAGGGTTTTAACCCTGCTGCAGGCCCCGCTACTGATCTCGACCGCCTGTCCAGAGGCCCTGTCAGATTACTTTGCCAAAGCTTCAGGGTCTAGGGTTTAGGGTTTAGGGTTAGGGTTTAGAGTTTAGGATTCAGGGTTTAGGATTTAGGGTTTAGGGTTTAGGGTTTAGGGTTTAGGGTTTAATGTTTTTGGCTGAGGGCCCGCAGAAGTTTCGAGAACATGGTCCCTTATGGGTCTTCCTAAGTCCCCTGATGCCCGTATCAACCTAAACCCTAAAATATCTAAACCCGAAACCCTAAACCCTAAAGCCCTACCCGCCAGTCTATGGCAAACCGTGACCAACGTATCCTAAGTCCTAACCCCTGAACCCTAAACCTTCAACCCCAATTTTCATACCTAAGTGGAGGAACTGAGAGCTGATGGCCCTAAAACCCTAAACCCTAAACCCTAAACCCTAAACCCTAAACCCTAAACCCTAAACCCTAAACCCTAAACCCTAAACCCTAAACCCTAAACCCTAAACCCTAAACCCTAAACCCTAAACCCTACACTGGTCTTTGTTGATGCCTGGGTGAGTCCCCACAAACAAGACCTGGGCTCGACAATCGGGATTTGGGGTAGGAGTTTGAATTTTAAGGTGTTGTTGGGTTGCGGGTTTAGGGTTTAGGGTTTAGGGTTTAGGGTTTAGGGTTTAGGGTTTAAGGTTTAGGGTTTAGGGTTTAGGGTTTAGGGTTTAGGGCTTGTGGCCATGGAGCCCGAGCCGCATGTCCTGCAGGCGACTCTTCTGGTGATTGCCCGCAAACCGGAGGAGCAACATCGGCCACTGGGATTCCCAATGGCCCTAAACCCTAAACCCTAAACCCTAAACCCTAAGTGCTTTCCGTTTAGGGCTTCTAGGTTTAGGGATAAGGGTTTAGGGTTAGGGGTTTAGGGTTCAGGGTTATCAGCCCAATGGTGCTTTTTGTATGGGGCTTAGGGGTTTTTGGGCATTAGGTTTGCTTTTGTTCCATTGGTTTAGGGTTTAGGTGGTTTAGGGCTGTTTGTCAGGAACACTAGACAGTATTCGGAAATGATAACCCTAAACCCTAAACCCCAAACCCTAAACCCTAAGCCCCAAGCCCTGCGCCCTAAACCCGAAACCCTAAACCCTAAGCCCCAAGCCCGAAGCGCTAAGCCCTAAGCCCTAAGCCCTAGGCCCTAAGCCCTAAGCCCCAAACCCTAAACCCTAAACCCTAAACCCTAAGCCCTAAGCCCTAAGCCCTAAACCCTGCACCTGAGAAGCCCCCAGAGGTCCTGGTGGCGGCTAGAACGAAATGCTTTGGCCTGGGGGAGGCCGGCAGTTGATTGTTGCAGGGTTTAGGGCCTGGGCTCTGGGTTATATTTTTAGGGTTTAGCGTTTCTTGCCCTAAACCCTGAACCCTGAACCCTGAAACTCTAAACCCTAAACCCTAAACCTTATCGGGGTTTAGTGTTCCGTTCAAAAGGACTGAGTCCCTCACCCGATCCTGAAACCTGAGCCCTATGCCCTAAAACGTTAGAATTAACCATTTTTTGGGTTAAGGGTTAAGGGTTTGGGTTTGGGGTTTAGGTTTAGGGCGACACGTTGTCTATGAAGTGCTCATGCCTTTCACCTTAGGCCAGGCAGTGTTTGCCCCTTGTCTTAACACTAGGACTTGCCGGGCTTACCCTAAACACTAAAACTTCTAACCCCAGCCTTCAAGCTTGCGTTTTGTCCTGCACGCTCCAAACCCTAGACCCTCAACCCTGAACCTGGTTTTGTTTCGCCAATTTCTTGTCAACCCTAAACCCTAAATCCTAGACCCTAAAAGCTAAACCATTTTTGGACGCACCAAAGAGCAGGCTCCTTGAGACTTTCTTCGACCGGGCGGGGGGGGGGGGGGGGGGGGGGTTCGGGTTGCAGTGGCTGCTTGAAGGTTCATGGGGCACCTGTAAAGGGCTTAGGGCTTAGGGCTTAAGGTTTAGGGTTTAGGGTTTGGGGTTTTGGGGTTTAGGATTTAGGGTTCAGGGTTTAGGTCTAGGGTTTAAAGTTTAGGGTTTGGGGCAAGAGGGTTGGGGTGTAGGCGGTTGAGGGGCTGTAGGTAGGGTTGCTGGATTTAGTCCCGTGTATTTCGTACAGCTACCCCTACTTATGAGCCAAGAGCCTTCGAGCAGGGATACCAAAGCACTCAGCACTCTAAACCGAACGTTGGATAGGCCCCTAAGCCCTGAACCTGGGAAGGGTTTAGGGTCTGGGGTTTTGGGTTCAGGGTTTAGGGTTTAGGGTTTTGGGTTTAGGGTTTGGGGCTTAGGGCTTAGGGCTCAGGGCTTAGGGTTCCTCCCTTCTTTAGAAGCCTCCAATCTCGAGGAGCATGGGCATGGGCGAGGCCAGGGGAAACTCGGGAGGGGTGGGTCCAGGGTTGAGGGTTCAGTGTAGAGTGCAGGCGTTTCGGGGTTTAGGGTTTAGGGTTTGGGGATCCCTAAACCCTAAATAACTCTAAACCCTAAACCCTAAACCCTAAACCCTAAACCCTAAACCAGGTGGCCAGCTTCTCCTAGATCGTCTTTCTGAGGCCCTTAGTACCCTCATATGCACCTGGTTGAGACCTAAACCTCAAACCCTGGAACACTACAAGCCCTAAACCTAAGTCCGAAACCCCTCTACCCTGCCTAGACACCCTGGTGCTGAAATTCTGGCCCTGCTCGTTGTTAGTAGGGCTTCTGGGCTCAATGAGATCACATACCCTTGCTTCTCTAAACCCTGAACCCTTGACCCTAAACCCTAAACCCTAAACCCTAAACCCTAAACCCTAAACCCTAAACCCTAAACCCTAAACCCTAAACCCTAAACCCTAAACCCTAAACCCTAAACCCTAAACCATGCCCAGGTGCAGAGTACCCTGTAAGGCCCCATCAACCCCACAAGCCTCTGAAGCGCTTTGCAGGGTTCATTTCCCACAGATTGGTAGCTGCTGTTTACATAACCCTCTTGGAAACAACTTGAAGAGAAGCCTCTGAAAACGACTTCTTGGGAAACTACCCACTTGAAACAACCCTAAACCCTAGTTAAAAAGAAGGGCCCTAAAACTAAACCCCAAACCCGCTAAACCCCTGAAAGCCAAAATCCCCTAGAACCCGAGACCCTGCACCCCCTCAATCCGTAAAAGCCCTAATCTCCAATAAAACCTAAACCTGAACCCTGAACCCCGTAAACCCCGTAAAGCCCTAGTCCCCCAAACGCCCTAAACCTAAACCCTAAACCTCCTAAACCCTAAACCTCCTAAACCCGAAACCTGAAACCCTACTCATTGAATTCTCTGAGCCTATGAAAAAGCTTACGCACTACTTACGAAGCTCCCCAAACCTTAGGGCTTATAACGGCCGGTGGCCTCTTTATCTGTTACCCTTCTACCTTAGTATAGCCCCTAGATTCCTGGATACCCTAATAAGAACCCCCTTACAGAACAGAAACCCTACTTAAAGAGACCACCAACCCATGTAACTCAGGGCCTTAGGGTTTACGAGTCCTAGGGGGCAAGGTTCAAGGGATGAGGCACCCCTAAAGGTTTCCCTTGACATGCTCCTTGTATGGTTTAGGGTTTAGGGTTTAGGGTTTAGGGTTTAGGGGTTAGGGTTTAGGGTTTAGGGTTTAGGGTTTAGGGTTTAGGGTTTAGGGCCCTTATGATCCTTAAAAAGGGACCCCTAAACCCAAGGGTACAACCTTAAGGGTCCAAGGCAGAACCCCTACTTGGAGTATCCTTAAGGGTCCAAGGTAGAACCTCATGATACCCCTAAACCCTAAGTCCTAAACCCTAAACCTTAAGGGTCCAAGGTAGAACCCTAAACCCTAAACCCTAAACCCTAGATACGTCCCTTTCTGCAAGGACTTTCTGATGAAGGGCTACCCGCCCAAAACGCTGCTCGAAGCGGTCTGCTGCTCGAGACGAAGGGTTTAGGGTTTAGGGTTTAGGGTTTAGGGTTTAGGGTATAGGGTTTAGGGTTTAGGGTCCCTTGCCTGGTTTAGGGTTTAGGGTTTAGGGTTTAGGGTTTAGTACGTAAAGTAGGAAAAGACCCAGCGGTTTTGCTTTTAGGACCACCCCCAATTGAGTTAACTGGCTAGCGGAGTTCCTACCAAACCCCCTATAACCCTACCCAAGAGGCCGGATCCATGCCTTTCTCGAACAAAAACAGCCTGCAGATGCGTACCTTGCCAGGGAGCTCACGCACTCCCCCTCGCCAGCAGTTCCAAACCACTGGCGACAGAGAGTCTTGGAAAAGATTCTGCCGAACTCCCTTAGAGGCACTCGGTGGTTTGGCCACAGTGCCACGTGAGTGATTAGCGAAATGTTTGGACAAAAGCCCGACCCGATTCCCAGCATTCCTCAGCCTGCGCTGTACAATGAGGAACTGTTCCCTTCAGGAACGTTGAATCCTAGGGTCGCTCTGGCATCCGGGCCAGCCTCAAGAGCATCAGAGGAGTTTGAGAACTGACTACCAAGACAAGCCCGATAGCTATAAAAGCCTGATCCTCCAGATCAACAGCTCTCAATCCCCTCTTAGATCCTAGCTGGCGGTGAGTCCGCAAGCACTATGCTTACAAACTCTGTCTGCTTTATCCGGATTCGTCGGATGACCCTTCATCTTTAGCACTTCTCAACAGGTATGCTCCAACACACCTTTGGAAGTCATCTTGCACCTCCTCCGGATAGCAGTCTGTATCTACAGCGAAGCCCGCCCTCCATAAGCTAAACAAAATCCTAGCCCTACCTGGGACGCCCGTTGGTAGCGGCATAGGCACGAAGGCTTGGTCTTCGGTCTGACTCGCAGCTGTTCTGAATTTGCCCTTCTTAGGCAAGATTCGGCAGAAGGCCCACTTCAGGATCTCCCAAACCCCGATGACACACACACAGAGCCCCAAACCTAAGCTGTACAATCCCGTACTTTCCGAGTCCGAGTTGAAGGCTCTTGGGCATGAGGCAACTTGACGCTGGTCTTCACGGAAGAGAACAAGCGAACGGTCATCGCCTGACTGCACCGAGTGTGCCTCAGCAGGATTTGCGAGACCAAAGATCAGGATCAAGGCGATCAGGAACATGATGGGCCACGATGTACTGGCATCTGAGGCGGAACGCGAAGCTCTTGGAAGGTGCAACTGAAAGGTACAGGGCCGCTCTGAAAGTACAAATCGGCAGAGGTCGGTGATCGACAGGGAACCTCCCCATACAATGGAGTTGAAGCATACCCATGCGCGGTAAAGAGCCGCCAAGCCCCAAGCCAGCATAGGACAACAAAAGAAAGCATAGGCGTGCTCACTCGTCGAAGCGTTTGTTCCAGCACATTGTCCAACCCCGACCGCCCTGTGTTGCGAAATCCATACTAGCACTACAGCCCCGGCAAACAATCCTCCAACAATCAACCCTCCTAAGAAGCCAGTCAACAAACCCACAACAACACCTTCTTGGACATCAATATTTGGGGGTCCCCAATTTAAATCACTCTCACTCCCTTCTGTGCATGTGTACATGGACTCCTCTGCAGAAGTAAAATCACTTTCACTCCCTTCTGTGCATGTGTACGTGAACTCCTCTGCAGACGTAAAATCACTCGGCACTCCGTGGGAGCGCAAGGCGTCATGAAACTCCCGCCAATCCCCACCCGCCAGACCATCTACGACTGTCTGTACGGCTTCCTGCGACCAACCCGGAAGGGGGACGCGAAGTACATCATCAATGTAGCCCACGAGCAAAGACTCCTCTTCTGCACTATAGGTTGCCCCTACCCCCAATGCCAACACATTGGCCCCTGTCGGCTCTACCCCGCCATCGGACTCCAAATCATCCTGCCGCGAAGCAGAGGTGGGTTACAATAGGGTCTGCTGCTGAAGCTTCATCGCCAGATCCCGATTCTCTCCCGAACAAGTTCTCACCTCCGGCAAAATACAGCTGAACCGCCTGCGCCAAAGGCTCATCTGGCAGCTGAAGTCCATGAGGCACCGCAGCTATCTCTGAAACATCGCCGTCACTGCTATCTTCTTCCGGGGTTAAATTCCGATTGGCCTGCATGTATGCGCCTGCCACATCGTGCACTTGCAAGCCCCTCGATTGGTATCCCTCTAGGGATGACTGGTGCCGATACCGGTCTACAGCATTGTCTATGCCATACCGATAAGTACGAGCCACCTCACGCAGCTCCCGTATTTCAAGACACCTATCCCCTAAAAGACCTACAAAACATTCCCCAAATATAGCCAGCAATCGGCGTAAGAAGTGCGTCTGCTCATCACGTACTCTCCACACCACCAGCTGCGACCTCAGGCCGTGCACGATGCGACTCACTGCTTCAGGATCTCGAGTCTCTACAGCACCAAGAAGTTCACGGGCATCATGAGCGTTTCCACTACCCGTGCTCCCCCCAATCTGCACTGTAGGCAGGCCCCCGGTGTCATCACCGGTCAACGTCTCATGGCCACGGCGGGTGTCCGGAGGAGCAACAGCTTGTCCCAAGACTCCTGAACTAGAGGATGATTGCTGGACGCGTAGCCGTGGAGAAACATACACTAACTCTGGACTACGGGAGGAAGTGGAAAAAGCTCCTACGTTCGGTGAGAGCTGCATCTCAGGGGTAAGTCTTTCATATAACAACATCCTGGCGCGCAACCTCCACCACACTCTCACTAGTCCAACCGTGACCACAAAAACCAGACCGACACCCAGCCCCAAAAGTCCCTGCCAAGCTTGGAGGTCCCTGGATGGCTGTGCCTGGACAGGCGAAATTACGTCTGTTAGTAGCAATACCCCCAGCCCACTGTACAGGTTGCTACGGCACCCTTCTCCAGGCTGAATCCGTGCTAGCAGCATCAACACAATCAAAGTGGCCGGCGAAATTCCTACAGAACTTCCCTGCTCCCAGGCTAGGCGTCTCAAAGCCCTGAGGGTCGATGATTCCGGAGTTTCCGGCGATGATACCCTCACATTGGCCAACGCAAGAAGTTGGAAAATCCTCTGCCTAGCCAGTGGCTTCGTACCTACATCTGCAATCTGAAAGTCCCCAGGTAGATGGGTCACTACTAGGGTTCCGGCATCTACTCTTTCTCTACCGGCAGCCGCCCGAAGGCGCAAATGGCGATTACGCCAACTGGAGTTCGCGACCTCGAAAGCTCGAACCGATGCCGTATTGTCGCCGAGTAACATCAAGCTAATCGTATCCTCCAAAAGTTCTTCTACTACTGGCTGCATGGCTTCTCCGAGTTGTATGGTATTAGTCATACTTACCAGCTCGCTTTCGGCAGATGACAGCGTAATAAACGGCTGTTTGGTTGATTCCCAGAGTAACAAAGATCCTCGCCACAGCACAAAAGAAGATTGCATTGAACGTGCACCTGCTGGCCCGTGCGAAGCGTCACTGTACAGTTCAAGCACCGTGTTTGTCCGTGGCCGCGCCAACTGCCCATGCGGCGCCCACATATCCTTGACGGAGTTCGTATACTCTAACCCCATGCTGGCAGTTCCCTTCAAATAACGAAGAACTTGATGGCCCATAGCCACCACAAATTTCGGGGACTTAGTGGAGTACTGAGCCATGCGGGCAATCGTATACGAAAGGTCCGGACGGCTCCGCGTGGACATCCATAGTAGAGCCCCTGTAAGAGCTTGTGCTGCGCGGACGTCAGCCAGCCCAAACTCTTCCTGCTCTTCCGGTTCCTGCCATTTCACCATCGGTACAGGCGCCACGTCATCGACACTGTACTTGGCTAATAGCTCTGTCAGATATGACTCTTGCGTTACTCGGAACCCGGACGCCGTACGTACCACTTCCAGACCGCAGAACTTCACCGTCTTCCCTACCTCTAGCCACTCCGGGTCTGACAGCTTCCAAGTATGCTGTATCACCTCGATGACTGCACGACACAAGGCTAGCACACCAAAAACAATAAAGTCATCAACGTAAATTACCATCACCGCCTCGATTTCCAGACCCGGAACTCGAATTAGCCATAAGGCTTCGTCTGATTGCGCCTGAAAGAACCGATACACCTTCTCGCCCAGGTTGACCGTAAGATCCTTGATTGTAGCGTCGCGGTACATTGCCCAATCCCGCGGACTGGTCTTGAGACCGTACAGCGCCTTAAGGATACGCCACCTGTCGGTGGGCTCCAAAATTTTTAGGTCAACCAGGAGGTGCGGCGGTTTCACAATCCAAATTTCTTGCTGACTGACCTGCTGCAGCGGGGCGTGCAAGAAGGCGGTTTTTATGTCCGCAACTACCCCCACCCAGTGGCACTGGAGGGAGACAAACGCGATCACAGTCCTTACCGTAGCTGCGTCTACACCTGCCGCGTAAAGACTATCGGCGGAAAGGTCCTGTTGCAGGTAGTTACCGCAGCAAACTGCTCTGAATCTCCGGCGACCTACGCCAGCCTTTCTTGTCAGGACAGCCTTTCCCGGGATTTGCAGCACCTTATACCCCTGCGACACCCACTTGTTCACCTCCTGAGTACTGACACGCTCGACCGCTTGAGTGACTGTTTCTAGGCTTTGTACTTCCTCTAGGGCTGCTGGCCTCCAGAGCGGCAACTCTTGCCTAGCTTGCTCCAAGCTAATCGTACGAGTTTGACGAAAAATCTCATCAGGCTCTGGATCATGGGTTCCAAGAGGCACATCCGTACAAATGGCCCTAATGCTGCCTTGAAGCTCTACAGCCGGCTGCTCCCGCGCCAAGAGACTTTCGTACCATTCACACTCTAACCGGGCAACCCGAAGCATTTCGACAACTTCACGTCCATACCCGTTCCTTACAGCGTCGGTGAGCTCTTGAGCTGTTCGGGTCTTAAAGTGCACAGCAGCTTGATGCATAGCCACTCCGGCTTCATAGGACTCCTCGTCCAACAACTCGCACGGAAAATCAACTTCCCAAAGATCAAGCCCACAACCCTCCAAACTAGAGTCACCCCAATGCTTTGAAGCTCCTCCATCATACTCAATATCCTTGAGCTTCGACATCCAACTTACACCGTACTCCCCATCCCTTCTCGTCGAATCGTTCAGGAGAGTCTGCACTGGAAACCCCAGACCCTTTAAAGCATCCTGGTACAAAGGGACAACGGCCTGAAAATCCCGTGGAGCATATGCCACAATCACCCAGCGATCTTCACCAACCCAGGCCTCTGCTTCATGCCACCCTGTACTATCAAAAAGCTGAGGTTCATCATGGATGTTAAGCACTGTTCCGGGCTTTACCCTGCCATCCGGCAGCTTTCTTAACGTTGGCCCTTGACATTTTTCGATCCACAAGCCTCCTCCTTGAAACTGCCCCAGGCCTACTATCCAGGCGAGCCCTCCGTTACCATTCCGGGCATCACGATGCATAGGAGCTACAGTGTTTCGTGACAGGTAAAGCGTAGTCCATTGACCTTCCGGGTAATGATGCGCGACAAAACGATTGATGTAACGTGTGAGGTCCTCGTTTCCTTTAGCGTAGCGAGTGATACCCCTCAGACCCCCTTGACAATACAGTCCTAGGACCGCGTAGGTTCTGTCCCCTTCGAGGATAGACCGTTTAGGCGAGGGGAACCTCTTCACACATCGTCGCAGCACCTCCAAACAGATGTCAAACTCATAATTTTCAGCCTCTAGGCAGGATTTTAAGAATGCCTCCGAGTCCCTACACAAATGCAAGCAGCCTAGACCACCTAGGCTCGCGTCCCATTCATCTAGCAACTCCCTCGGCTCCCCATCTGCATCGAGGCGAAATCTGCCAGATTCATCAAAACAGTTTTTCTTAGCAAGCTTTTCATCCCCGTGCGCCAAAGCAAAGTCGGACTCAAACTCATTTTGCACCGATTCCGAATCCGACTCAAGCTCACCTTTACCCCACTCCCCCCCAGGTGACAACCTGGCCAAGGAACCCTGCACATCAGGCACCACAATGCAGGTCTCAGACACACGCACCGTCCTGAGCACGAAATCCGGTGCACTCTTACCTCGAAGGCGATACTTAGGTTTCTTGAGCTCGGGGGTCTTGGGGCCGAGGGGATACACCGTATTAGTCAACAACACCTTTTTCTCTTCCCCATCACAGTCCACAAGAACAAGGTGCCCGCCCGGCGTGTCCGGGGCCTGGCCCAAATACAATCCAGGAACCGTGCGAGACCTCCAGTGAGACGCAAACCCAGACCGGTGACGCTGACGCGCCTGCAAACGCACGCCGAATGGGAGAAGAGTGGGCTGAGGTATACCCAAATCACTGCAAAGATGCACCCAGTTTCGGCGACTCGCATGCAACACAGCCAAGGGCCAAAAACTCGGGCCCAACTCCGCCACCGCAAGCAGCTTACGAGCCAATCCCTTAAGCTGTTGCACCGCCAGCTCGGCTTTGTTGCCCGCAGGAGCCTCACCAGGAGTCCAAGTGGCGTGAATACCGCGCGTCCTGCACCACTCAACCAAAGGCCGAGCCCGGAGCTCCTGGGCACGGTCAGCATGATAACGATGTACCGGAAAACCGTACGACTCCAAGCGATTAATAACCGCCTGAACGGCCGGAAAAACCTCTTTAGAGCGCTTAGACCGCAAAGGAACCCCAAGGAACAAGGTCCGGGTCTTGACAGGGGCCGGAGGTTCCGACGGTGGCGGTAACGGGGGATCCTCAAGAGGAAACGCATCAGGACAACGAACACCGTCATCAGGGCCCGAAGGATCGTCCGGTGACTCCGGGCGCTTACCCACGACGCGATGAGTTACCTTGCTTACACCGGCACCGAAATCACCCGCTTCACCCGAAGCCTCTACCAACATAGGCGGCTCATCCGAAACCTCATCTCCCTCAAGGCGAATCTCCGAACGCTCCTCAACACCCGGTACACCGGAGACCGGTACGGTGAAAGCACAAGCCAAGAAAAACCTGTACCCGCGACCCTTGTCTCTTCCCGAAGCAACCGGATCAAAGCTGCGTCCGTCAACAAACGGCCCTGCCAAGTCGAATGATGCCGAATACAGACCCGTAACCGCAGCTCGCCAATGACTCCGCTGCCGTCCCTGAGCTGCAATACAAACCGGGCAACCCTTCCGAAAAGGGACATGGTCATTACCAACATGACGCTGAAACATTTCATCCTCAGTCAACTTGGCCAGCCACAATTTTCGCTCTTCCACCACCCCCTGTTCTCCCTGTTCCCTTTTCCAAGAGCACCATGCGGCCTGGACGGCAGCCGACAACCCTGGAGCCCAACGAGCCCAAGTAGGAGCCTCCTGAAGCCGAGACTTGCCAGCACTAGGACCCTTTCCAAACCGCTGCCTTTCACTCTCAGTAAGAAATTGCTGATCCAAGGCCTCATACAGGAACCAAGAGTTGGTAGCAAACGACGTTGGCTTCGGCCGTACATGCCCAAACTTACCCTGATCAAATCGGGCCAGATACGTCGAATACACACTGGAGAAATCAGACCACTCCTGGAAGGCCCACCACGAGGCCCAACCCCTCGGAGGAGCCAACGCTTGCTCTAAATACTCTTCAGGGTCTCGAGGGTGCTCCCAGCCGAACATAACCAATCGCCCATCCCTCAGGAATTGCTGATGGCCCGTGCCCTGAAATCCCTTGGCCGTTTCACTGGAGAAACCAAGGTTCGCAGCCGCCTGCTGCAGAGCCCACTGCGCAAGTTCAAGAGGATCGGTTACTTCAGTAGGCATTGCAACCCCGGAACCCTGCGTCGCCATACCATCAGATGACCCACACAAAGTAGGGGAGCTGGCGGTTTTGCTTATTGCACCACCGGCAGCAGGGATACAGGGAGGCCCATCCGCAGCCGCTTGGGCTATGGCGTACAGAAATAAGAAACGAAGCCAGAGAACACTATCCTCACGCACGATGTCCAACTGCCCCCCGGACAAGCCATCCAGGCCCCAGCGACCTTCGCCCCGATCACGGACTGGAGGAGGTCCTCCATCTTGTTCAGCACGACAACGGCTAATCGTTCGGCACGGTGGACCCCCGAGAACGGCGCCCACCACCCCAAGCGTAGCCCACACAATTAAGTGCTGCCACACATTGGAACTTAGAAGGTCTGCCCCCCTGGACTTCTCCACTTCCACAACAACCCCTGGAACTCTCCACCTTTGCTGACCCGCGAACAAATGCACCAAGACCTCCCCCGGCTTTGCACGTGAGATAGTCCGTCGTCGTCGGCGGTTCCATGGAACTCCTTCCGAATTGAGCCCCTCCAGAGAAGCGTCCTGTCCGGCAACGCGTGTAAGAAATTCATAGGGGACATGGGGAAACATACTACGTAACCAAATAAGCTGATCTTGCCGAGTGAGAGTTCCACCCGCGACCTTAGCCGCAAGCCACGCCCGCGCCTGATCCCTAGCAAACACTGGTTCGTCTACGGTCGTCGCCGGCTTTAGCAGTGGAACCTCACCCCGTTCTTGCAAGCCCTCGTACTCCGCCACCAGCTTCAACCCTTGTTCCCGGGATACTAAGGGGCACCCTTTAACCACCGTAACATCAAGGGCCGCCTGACCTCGTCTCTTGATGACACAACCCCTTTTTTTACAGGTGATGGAGAAACCCAGCTGAACAAGGTAGCCGGCGGGAATGATAACTTGACAGGAACCTTCACTAAGAAGGGTGCCCTGTTTGTTGATGTGAAGTTCCGTTACCCCACTGGCCAGATCAACCCTTATGACCCTGGACGAATCCAACTCCCCCGGTTCTGCAGGCCGTAAGGCGTTAGTCGCTCCAGAATCAACGAGCGCATATTTCTGATCTGATGCACTTGCCACGGCACTAATCAACCAACCCTTGTCAATGCCCAACTCCTTAAGACATCCCTCCTCCGAAACCTCAGAAAGATGCAACGTCTTCAGATTGGCCCCTTGCAAAAGCTTAGCAGCCTCAGCGAAAAGGACTTCCTGCGCTTTAGCAGCAACGTCCTGACCCGAAGTGGCAGTGCTTCCTGACACGCTCGCGCCCCCCGCATCTTCTACCACACCTTTAGCTTGAGGGATGACTTTTGGTTTCGGGGCAACTCCAGGCTTCTTGGGCGCTGTTTTTGGGGAGGTAGGGCTGTTAGCCTCTGATGGGTTGACGACCTGCCGATTTTCGGGTGACACCAATGGGCACTCCGGACGAAAATGCCCTTCCTGACCACATGCCAGGCAGCGTTTCTGCTTTCGGGCAGCCGTTCTGTCATGCTTAAAGCGACAAGAATCCCCGAACCTACACCCCTTTCCCTCAACAAAGTTGTGGCAAGGACTAGGGTTATTCCCGGGTTCCTTCCCTTTCCCCTTCCCCTTCCCCTTACCCTTATCCCCTCCTAGACCTTCCAAGGCCTTTGTCGCGGCATCCGTCGCAGCAGCATTAATATTAGGAGGACGATCAGGGGAAGTGGGCTTTGAAGGTTGGGTTTCAGGTTCAGTTCTTGTTGCCGCATTCCGGGCACGCTTATCGGGACTCCCTTGAGAATCCCCACTGATTGAAGCAGCTTCGCACTCTGCTTGCACAAGCCTCACAAGACTCACAACCGAGGACACTGAAGGATTGTAGTCCAAAGCTACCCGATGTCTGAAAGCATTCACCCGAAACCCTACCGCAGGGTACTGCGCAAGAAGACCCGATGTAGCTTGATCTATTCCCCGTAGCAATAGTGACGGGTCTGGGAGAGATGCCCCCAACTCTCTTACACGCTGCAGGTGCTGCATCCAACGTCTCAGCATTGTCACTGCCGCCCCTACCGACTTAGCCACTTCAGGGTTCACTAGCTGATGAAGAAGCATTGCTCGCTCTGACGAGCCTCCCGGCTGATACAGGCACTGTATCCTGAAGATAAGTGCTGCCGTAGACAGCCAGCGGTTGGACACGGCTTCATCTCTCACATGACTGGGAACTGCGGCTAGGACCAATGATACGGCTCTGGACTCTACCCTTTGGTATTTGAAGACGTCGAAATGCGCTACAACATCAGCAGGGTCAAGACCTAATCTGTCTAAAGGATCCGCAACTAGCCAACGTTGATATTGGGCTGTTGCCGCAGACTCCACACTGGCATACCAACTCGCTGCAGTGGGGCTTAGCCCTGTAAAAATTTGGCGAACTTGCCCCAACCAGTTGCCGCACGTTACTGCCGACGTGGCAATGTCAGCCGATGGCAGCTTAGGCAGATCAAAGATGTACTTCGCTGGCTCCTCCGGCCTCTCCGGCATGGATGCACTGGACCCTGACTGCCCACTCAACCCTACAACCTGTCCTGATTGGGGCCAGGCCCTCGAATCGGGAGGCGGCCCTGGCGGAGGTCTGATGACAGTACCACCTGGCGAAACAGGATAGCCGTCGCTACTCACACCCCAAGTTCCCACCCCTCTGCCGCTGGACCTAGGAGTATGAAACCCTTGGCTACCCTCTATGGCCCCAACACCTACCGACCCTGGCACTTCACCTACCCCTTGACTTAGTACAGGAGGTTGACGAGGCATCGTTGCCGGTGCAACGAAGGATGTTGCAGCTAAGGAAGACCTCTGATATGCGTTCAGTGGCAAGTGACTTTGCAGAGATTGGCTGGCAGCTTCAGGCATGGGATGGCTCACAGCCATCATGCGGGGAGGCACAGTCTGCACCTCTGCTGCAGGCAAAGCTCTCTGGACAACAGGCTTGGGGACTGCAACAGCATAGCGATCCAAGTCGGCCCTTGCCGAAGCCCCTTCCCCGGACCCTAACCCAAACGCTTCACCCATACCTCTCACTTCTATCCCTTCACGGTGGTTGGGGAGCACCTCTGGACCCAACATCGCAAAGGGTTGCACAGCACTCCTCCACGGAGCTACTTGAGCACCCCCATGACCCGGCGTAAACGACACAGGCGAATGCTGTACAAACTCTGGCACACGCTGTACAAGGTCCGGTTCAGGGCCAGTAGCTCGCGTACCTCCACTGTGCCAGCTGGATTGCGTCTCCAACTGCGCTTGCTCCAGACGTGCCCGGAGATTCCGGTTCTCCTCCAAGACCTGTCGCAACAATGCCTCCATATCCGACGGCAAGCCCTCTGCGACTGGCACAAGCTCACGAGGATCACCGGGTAGCGGTCGACCTGTCAACCCTTCATGCTCACTCAACCGGTCGGGAAGAGGAGCAGGTTGAGCACTCTCTGCTGACGCCAGCACCTCCACTGGCCCATACTCTGTAGGCTCTGAGGCCTCCGCACGCCAACCCTGCCCCACGTCGCACTGTGCTGTTCTGGAGACCACCGCCTCAGGGCGAATCTCAGTCCGATGCTCCAGTCGGGCCACACGGACTGGTGTAGCACTGAAATCGCCTTCGCTGTAAGGCGGCTCCAGCTCCCTACCTGCCTGATTTGTATCTCCTAAGCCAGCTTCATCTATCTCCACATTGACCCGTTGGGCGTCCTGGTCCAACGTGCTTGGCCGACTCCTCAACAGGTCAATCTCCGCTTGCACCTTCTGCGAATGGAAAGGACTCGCCACAGGCTTAGCAGCTTGGCCCTGCTCTAATGCTCCAGGCGACGCCTCGCCCTGCCAGCTTCCGCTAGTAGCTGCTGTAGGATCACCACTGCCGGTTTGGCTCAAGGCTGTTTGATACGCGGTCTCAGCATGCACATCACCCATTTCTGGGTCAGGCCCAGCGCTGGTCACTCTTCTATTCTTCAAGAAGGAATCCATGGCACGCGCGATTTGGACCCCGTCACCCACACGATGTAACACTTAGACCCTGAAACCCTTAAGCTAGTCTCAAACTCTAGAGGCTATCTACGGCTGATAACCTACGTAAAGTAGGAAAAGACCCAGCGGTTTTGCTTTTAGGACCACCCCCAATTGAGTTAACTGGCTAGCGGAGTTCCTACCAAACCCCCTATAACCCTACCCAAGAGGCCGGATCCATGCCTTTCTCGAACAAAAACAGCCTGCAGATGCGTACCTTGCCAGGGAGCTCACGCATTTAGGGCTTGGGGGGTGCTAAGCATCCAGCTTGTTAACCAATCTCCCCAACCCCCCCCCCCCCCCATTCCCCCCCGCCACCATCACCAACCATCACCAGAAAGCTCCACCAGAGCGGATTCGGTAGAAGGGTTTGGGGGTTGGGGGGGTGTAATTGTGCACTGTGGTGTTTAGGGGAGGACTCTGGGAGAGGCAGTCGCATTCCTGTAAAGAAATAGGGAGTGATATCCCTAAACCTTATGCCCTAAGCCTCCAAGAACCTACTACATAGGTTACCCACGTCTTTATTATACCCCTTACATACCCAAACCCAGGGCCCATACTTCAGAACCCTTTAAAGAAGGTAAGGGACCATACTAAGGGACCATATGACTACCCTTAGACAGAACCCAGTATTCCAGTACTGCTAGTTACACAAACGTTCAGCTGTTCAGTTCGTTGCAGCTTCTCCTAGGGTTTCGGTTTAGGGTTGAATTTTTCGACACTTGGCACTATGGCTTAAGGCCGAAAAAGCCCCAAACTGACCACTCTTTGATGGACTCACGTGCAAACAGGTCCGAGGGCTTTAGGGCTTGGGGGGCTGTAACGATTAGGGCGCCAGACAGGCTTTGAATTTAAGAGAAAACCCTTAACCCTAAGCCCTAAGCCCAAATTGCACGGAGTTCCAAACCCAGGTCTCGTGGTCGAAGACCGACGAGGTGCGCGCCTGCACAGTGTTCGGTTTGGGGTTTAGGGTTTAGGGTTTAGGGTTTAGGATTTAGGGTTTAGGGTTTAGGGTTTAGGGTTTAGGGTTTAGGGTATGCCCCAAACCCTAAGCCCTAAGCCCCAAAACCCTAAAACCCCAAGCCCTAAGCCCTATCTAGTGAGCTCCTGACATAATGGACGGAAGGACTGGCGCTGGTCAAGGGATCCTGGAAGCTGTTTCGGTGGCGATGTCGGGGGTGACTTCCCTGAACCCGAAACCCTAAACCCTAAGCCCTGAACCCTCTGTTCAGGTTCTTTGCAGCGGGTTTTTGCGCCCTAAACCCTAAACCCTACACCCTAAACCCTAAACCCTGAACCTTCTCGCGCCACTGCCTCAGCCGTGCGCCCTCTTGGGCATCCGCACCTTCCGCTCACTCCCCCCCCCCCCGCCCAAACGGTTTAGAGTTTAGGGTTTAGGGTTTAGGGGTTCCAGCTCTCATCTTTGGAATCCAAAAGAAAATTCGCTTGACTTCATGACCCAACGAAGCCCGCCCCCCCTAAACCCCAAACCCTAAACCCCAAACCCTAAACCCTAAACCCCAGACCCTAAACCCTAAACCCCAAACCCTGAACCCCAAGATCCCTCGAGCAAAGAGGTCGAACAGCTCTACCGCGAGGGAGAGCTGGCGGGTCAGCAGGTGCCGCTCTGAAAACCCTAAACCCTAAACCCTAAACCCTAAACCCTAAACCCTAAACCCTAAGCCCAGTTTGTACGTAGGACCCTTATGTGCTACCTGGCTCACGGCCATGCCCTAATAAAAGTTCAATGGTCTTCGCAACACCCAGGCTACGGACCGGTGGGCAGAAAGTCGACATGAAAACCCCTAAAGCCCTAAACCCCAAACCCCAAACCCCAAACCCCAAACCCCAAACCCCAAACCCCAAACCCCAAACCCTAAACCCTAAACCCTAAACCTAAACCCTAAACCCTAGACCCTCAATCCTAAATCCAACCACCCAGCTGTTGCAGGTCCTGGGGCCGACAGGAGACCGCGGAGGTGCCAGGGGGCTGAGGGTTCAGGGGTTTAGGGTTTAGGGTTTAGGGTTTCGGGTTTAGGGTTTATAAGTTTAGGGTTTAGGGTTTATAAGTTTAGGGTCATGGGGTGGTGAGGCGGTGTAGGGCTTGGAGGATTTAGGGTTTACTTCATGTTGCGGGTTGGGGGGGCTTTGTAGAACCTTAAATCCTGACCGCCTGAAGTCCAGACCGAGGCAGGCTAGGACTCAGAGCAGGCGCTTAAACCCTGCTTTTAGAGTTTAGGGTTTCGGTCTCAGGTTCAGGTTACAATTCCGAAGAGCGTTTAGGGTTTGGAGAAATGTTCCCTTCGTTGAGGTTCAGGTTTAAGGTTATCCTAAACCCTACATCCGCAACCCACAGCCGCGAGGCTTGCTCGCGGCTCTTCTGGCCCCCAGGATTCACGAGAGGCCGTTCGCACGCTGTCTTCCGAAAGGGTGTATGAGGCTACTTGGAAGTTCATGGTACTTATTAACCAATGATAACTGTCATTGCTCATATCAACTCATATCCCACTTAGAAGCCCCTTAAGTACCCTAATATGGTTAGAAGTACAGTTAGAAGTACAGATACACTTGGTTCATAAGTACCATGAGCCTCCAAGTAGGGCTTAGGGTTCAGGGTTTAGGGGTTCTTTTCTCGCAAGTGGGCCTCACAGTGTAGAGTCCCTGTTTTTCGGTCTCAGCACTGCCTACTAGGCGTAAAGAGACCACTATTTTGGGAAATCCCCAAGTCTCTAAAAGAGCAAAGTAGGGATTGATCCTGGAAGTTATAAGGCTTCATGGGGGGGAGAACTGTTAGAAATCACTGCCCCTTGTTCCTTTTTTTCGCGGCACTTTCTTGATACAACCTATTCAAGGCGGTGTCTGTGTAGGGATGTAGGGTTCGGGGTGTTAAGGAGACCCTTATTGAGAACATGCCCATTGTCCTCCTATAAACCCTGTCAATCCCACAAGCCCTAGAAACCTCAGAAACCCTAGAAGGACTGTCTTAAGACCGAAAAACGGGGTTTAGGGTCTAGGGTTGAGGTTTAGGGTTTAGGGTTTAGGGTTTAGGGTTTAGGGTTTAGGGTTTAGGGTTTAGGGTTTAGGGTTTAGGGTTTAGGGTTTAGGGTTTAGGGTTTAGGGTTTAGGGCTAGAGTTCAGGCTTCTGCCATTCCCTGGCGGGCAACTCCTGGCCTTTGCCCGCGACTTCCTCGCAGTTTCATGGGTGGGAGGGTTCTTTGGCGCGGTGTCTTTTTTTGTTCAGTTTAGGGTTTAGGGTTTAGGGTTTAGGGTTTAGGGTTTAGGGTTTAGGGTTTACGGTTCTGGGTTCTAGGGTTTAGGGTTTAGGGTTTCGGGTTTCGGGTTTCGGGCTTAGGAATTAGGGTTTAGGGCTTAGGGTTGGGGATTTCGGGGCCACTGAGGCCACTGATCCCGAACCTCAGGGGAGTGATTTCAGGATTGCCGGGTCCTGGGTCTTGATATGCCCGGCGTGAGGCGGGTGAGCGCAAAAAGCGTCGTGTCCTAAACCATGAAGCCTAAAAACCCGAAACCCTAAACCCTAAACCCTAAACCCTGAACCCTGAACCCTGAACCCTGAACCCTGAACCCTGAACCCTGAACCCTGAACCTGATATCCTTTTCACCAGGAATGGGGAACTACGCGCAGAACATCCGCAGGCGCCGCCGCTCTTGCTGCGAGGGTCAAACCTTTACACTCCTAAACTTTAGAACCTAAACCCTGAACCCTGCACCCTGAACCCTGATCCCCAAACCCTAAGCTAACCCTAAACCCTAAGCCCCAGACCCTGGACCAACCCTAAACCCTAAACCCTAAACCCTAAACCCTAAACCCTAAACCCTAAACCCTAAACCCTAAACCCTAAACCCTAAACCCTAAACCCTAAACCCTAAACCCTGAGCTGCAATTCTTGGGGCTGTAGGGCTTCGGAGGTTCAGGGCTCAAGGATGGTTTTTGAGGCTTCGTGGGGCCCATTGCGCAGGGTTTCGGGCTTAGGGCTCAGGGCTTATAGGCTGAGGGTTTCGGGTTTAGGGTTTAGGGTTTAGGCTCATGAAGCCTCGTAAACCTAGGTAGATAGGTGACCACTCCGAAGCCCAAACATTTCCTCTCTCAAGGTACCTGGGCCCTAACCCCTAAACCCTAAACCCTAAACCCTAAACCCTAAACCCTAAACCCTAAACCCCCGTACCTGCTCAGAAGTGACAGCTTTCAGGTACCTCAAATTCTTTAAGCCTGAGCAGATGGTCCTCGCAGAGACCAGTGAGCTTGCAACGACATGTCCTCAGAAGACTAAGGGGTTTAGGGTCTAGGGTTGAGGGTTTAGGGTTTAGGGTTACAGATGTTGGTTTAGGGTTTTGGGTTTAGGGTTTAGGGTTTCTTGGGCAGTAGGGAGCTCACTTCCCTACAGATCCTCTTACAGTGGTTCAAGCCGGGGTGGACAGAACCTATTTCCCCAACTTCCTTCTTGACAAAACAAGCGCGAGTCTAGGCACGGGGCTGCTGAACATGTCGCAGTTTCTACTGAGGGGGCCTCTAAACCCTAAACCCTAAACCCCCCCTTTTGTGAAAGGAATGGATCCCATATGCCCCTCTAAAATCCCCGCCGTCAGGGCAGACCTCCTCACTGTGGTTATAGCATCCTCAAGGGAGGAAGGGATTCAAGGGGGGTATGTAGCCCCATGTGCCGTTAGTATGGTCCCTTACCCTTGTTTATAGGGATCCGAAGTATGGGCCCTTAGTATATATAGTGTATATAATATGTAAGGGTTAAGTAGCAAGGGACCCAAGTTAAAGGCCAGAACCCTAGAGTTTAGTAGGAATATTAAATAATCCCTGAACCCTGAAACCCTGAAACCCTAAACCCTAAACCCTAAACCCTAAACCCTAAACCCTAAACCCTAAACCCTAAACTGTTTCTTCCTTGGTGATTAGAGAAGCAAGACACTGAGGCCTGGCGGCGCCGCCGCGGTTGCGAAGCGTCTGGCGGCCCGTAGCCTCCCCCTCAGGGCACTGCAGGCACCAGGGTGCTGGGGTTTAGGGTTAGGGTTTAGGGTTTGGGGTTTGGGGTTTAGGGTTTAGGGTTTAGGGTTTGGGGTTTGGGGTTTAGGGTTTAGGGTTTGGAGTTTGGGGTTTAGGGTTTGGGGTTTAGGGTTTGGGGTTTAGGGTTTATGGTTTGGGGAGAGGTATGTTGTTGGGGAGTAGGTTGCTTGGGGCCCCAGAAGGGACCTCTAATCCTACACATACCTTATTGAGTCCCTATATATCTAAGTAGCCCCCTTGTATCACCCCTAGAGAACCCCAGGGTCCCTTATAAGGGTTCCTTTTTTAGTCTCTGTACCAGAAGCTCCCTAAATCCACGCGTTCCGGTGACCTCGATGCCCCCTTGTCCCGCCTGCACTTTGCCTTGGTGTGCAGGAGCAAGGCGACCCAGCGGGTGTCCCCGGAGGGTTCGGGGTTTAGGGTTTAAGGGTTGAGGGTTTAAGGGTTTAAGGGTTTATGGGTTTAAGAGTTTAAGGGTTTAAGGGTTTAAGGGTTTAGGGGTTTAGGGGTTTAGGGGCTTAGGGGTTTAGGGGTTTAGGGGTTTAGGGGTTTAGGGGTTGGTTTAGGGGTATAGGGGTTTAGGGTTTAGGGTTTGGGGTGTTTTGCTTGTGCTATGTTCAGATTTGACTCAAATATTTGCAGCAGAATTAGCTTTCGATCGTGTGAAGTTACGAGAAGCAGCTGCTGTAGGGCCCCGAAGTCAGTGTGAGGGGGGTTCGAAGGTGGGTTGGGAACTCAATGCGTAGGGTTTAGGGCGTTTAGGGCTTAGGGCTTAGGGTTTAGGGTTTAGGGCTTAGGGTTTAGGGTTTAGGGTTTAGGGTTTAGGGTTTAGGGTTTAGGGCTTTAGGCTTTAGGCTTTAGGGTTTAGGGTTTAGGGCTACGGTTTAGGGCCTAGGGCTCGGGGTTTGGGAGTCAAGGCTTCGGTTTCATTTCCTTACTGAGCCAAGTTAACTAGGACCCAGAGTAGGCCATTATTCTCTTTTTAAACCCTAAACCCTAAACCCTAAACCCTAAACCCTCAACCCTAAACCCTAAACCCTAAACCCTAAATTTTCTGGGGCTTCGGTTCCCTTCTAAGCCGCTTGAAACTACAAAGGGTATTGTTTTTTCCTAGGTTAGGGTTTAGGGTTTAGGGTTTAGGGTTTAGGGTTTAGGGTTTAGGGTTTAGGGTTTAGGGTTTAGGGTTTAGGGTTTAGGGTTTAGGGTTAGGTTTAGGGTTTAGGGTTTAGGGTTTAGGGTTTAGGGTTTAGGGTTTAGGGTTTAGGGTTTAGGGTTTAGGGTTTAGGGTTTAGGGTTTAGGGTTTAGGGTTGTTACTCTTGGGTATTTAGTACAATGAGCTTTGAACTTCTTGGGTTTCCTTGCTCGTATGTTTTTTTTCTGGTTCCTTGGTTATTGGAGAAGTTGCGGCTTATACAGGGTTTAGGGTTTTGGGAGAGCCAAAATGGACTCCCAGGACTCAAAACCCTGAACCCTTAAGAAAGGTCGGTTTAGGGTTTAGGGTTTAGGGGGTGCTTAAGCCACGGGCTCAAAAACGCCAAAGACCGGTCGCCGGTCACCTTTTAGCCACCTTCAAGTCCGTACTATACTCCCTGAAAGCGCAAGACCATTAATGCGGTTCTTAACCCTCGACCCACGACCCTGAACTCAAATTTGAGCCCTTAAGGCTAGAGCTAAACCCTAAACTCTACCTGAATGCGGCACCCTAGAAAGGAAGATATGCTTCTTCACTTCAGCCCCCGACCTTAAGTCCTATACCCCATACACGCCAACTCCTGTCAGCCCCTAAACCGATGCGATTCCCCCTTCGGCGCAATGGCAGCGTGGTCGTCGGTGCCGTGGCCCTTTGCCTCTCGGCGCGCTTCGCGTCGCATGGCGCGCAAAAGACGGATTCGGAAGTGAAGGCTTTGAGTTTGAGGTTGGGTCTTGGGGTCTGAGGTTTAGCTAGCATGATTGTCCGAAGTCACCCCTGCGCCTAGCTCCGACTTGCGATCTGCTCGAGATGCTGTTGTTCTGAGTGCTTGGAGGCTTCCGGCATTGCAGTTTAAAGCATCTGGAGGCTCCCAATACTGTGACTTCAGCGTCGTGGGGTTTCGGGTACATGTGAGGCAGCCGTCCTTGAGCATCGCAAAGACGATGAGCGGTGAGTGCACTGGCAGCACCAGGATGCAGGGTAGCTTAAACAACTACCAGATTCATCTCCTTAAAACCCTTGTTTATGCATAAGGGCTTGGGGTTTTGGATTTTGGGTTTAGGGTTTGGGGTTTAGGGTTTAGGGTTTAGGTATAGGTATAGTAGATAGGATGCAAAGTACCCATCCCAAGGCATATGCCCCCACGCATCTAGGCATTTGTTCAGCTGTGTCTGTTTTGAGGTCAGTGCCTTGGTCGGGTTTAGGGTTTAGGGTTTAGGGTTCGGGGTGTGGGGTTTAGGGTTTGGGGCCGCAAGAACCCTTCTTGGGCTGCGACACCCCAAGAAGCAGCTGGGAAAGGATTCCAGATGAGTTGCATTTGCATGTGAGAGCTGTTCTAAAACTGTTGCTCTTCTTTTATTCTTTGTCGGAGTTGGGAAACATTTTACAATTTTAAGGGCACTTAAACCCGATAAGGAATAGGAACCAGGATTTTTGTATTATCCCAACCATGAACTCGTATTGACACTACTATGTATAATAGGATTCCTTCTGATAGGAAAAATGTCTAATGCAGTCAAAACGTTGTATAAGAAAGCATTTGTTCGACGGCAGGGTACCCGAAGCGTCTGTACTGTCATTGCCCCATGTACCGGGGGCCGGGGGGGCAGGGAGGGGGGCGGGGGGCGGGAGGCGGGTACTCGAAGTTTCTAACCCTAAACCCTAAAACCCTAAGCCCTAAACTCCATTTCTTGAGAGAGCATGCTACACGCACGCACACGCGCACGCACACACGCACACACAAACAAACAAGCTCGAGCAGCCACGCAATCGCCTTTGGGGAGTTTCAGGTCTCAAAGTGAAAACGGATGACGAAATGGACCCACGTGCTTTCGACGATTACAAGAAGCCACTTTTTGTCTTTGCAGCCCAGGCTACAAGCTGCAAAAAGCAGGCTTTGACTCTTGCGTGCAGCCTCGGACCCCTCTAAACCCAAACCGCGTTAGGGTTACCCCAAACCCTACACCCTAAACCCGAAGCCCTAAACCCTAAACCCTAAACCCTAAACCCTAAACCCTAAACCCTAAACCCTAACCCCTAAACCCTAAACCCTAAACCCCAAACCCTAAACCCTAAACCCTAAACCCCCCTCAAAAAACCCCCATGCCCAAGGCCGCCCGCCCGCGCCAGCCGCTGGGTGCGGCGCGCCGCGGCTGTCGAAGCTGCCGGACGAGGTGGCAGCGTTTTAGCTCTTCGGGGTTTAGGGGTTTAGGGGTTTAGGGGTTTAGGGGTTTAGGGGTTTAGGGCTTTAGGGGTTTAGGGGTTTAGGGTTTTGGGGGTTTTAGGGGGTTCAGGATTTTTTGGTTGAGGGGTTTAGGTTTCAGGGTCTTGGGGGTTTTTGGGTTTTTGGGTTTAGGGTTCAATCTCTGAGTAGCCGAACCAAAGTCGTCTGCTCCCATCAAACAGCACCTTGGAATTTTTGAGCTACCCAACACAAAGCAGAAATACTATTGTCCCGATTGTTTGGCTGTTCCCATTGCTTTGGACAAAACATTTTCCCGTTTGTTTAGTTGCCCTCATTTGCCCTAAGTGCTGAAAGCTTGACATCTGGTGAGGGCGTGCTCCTGAATCCAATCACCAAACATGCAGAACCCGGCTCATTACAACCCCAACCCCAAAACACCAAACTTTAAACCCTGACCCTCAAATCCCAAACCCCCGAAAGCCTAAAGCCTTAAACCCCAAAACTCTTCGGCCCTAAAACCCTGAAACCCTTAAAATTCCCAAAGCCCTAAAACCCAGAACCCTACAACCAAAACCTAAACCCTAAACCCCCAAAAAACCCCGAACCCAAAACCCGTAAACCCCGAAACCCTACCCGTAAACCCCGAAACCCTAAACCCCTAAACCCCCCCCCAAAACCCTAAACCCCAAAACCCTAAACCCGTAAACCCCAAAACCTTAAACTAAACCCAAGACCCAAATTACTAATGGTGTTCCCTTGGGCTTGACCTAAACCCTAAACCCCAAACCCTAAACCCTAAACCCCAAACCCCAAACCCTAATTGCCATTCTAAATATGAGTTGCCCAATTCTACATATTCATTGCCCCATGTTCGTCCAAGTGCAGGAGGGCCCGTGATCATCTGGCTGCGACACGAGCTGCGGCTGGCGGACAACCCGCTGCTTCAGCAAGGCTAGGTCTAGGGTTTAGGGTTTGGGGTTTAGGGTTTGGGGTTTAGGGTTTAGGGTTTAGGGTTTAGGGTTTAGGGATTAGGGTTTAGGGTTTAGGGTTTAGACTTCAGGAGGTTTAGGAGCTTTGGGGTGCTTGGGGGTGTTGGGGGTTTAGGGCTCGCGGAGTGTCATCGTTGAGGGTTTCCGAATCAAGACAGGGGCAGGGTAGGGATGCTTGTCTTGTTGGTGGTTCTGGACTTGAGGAGCTTTAGGGTTCATTTAGGGTTTAGGATTTAGGGTTTAGGGTTTAGGGTTTAGGGTTTAGGGCCCCTTTTCCCCCAGAACACGAAATCCCGACCCAAAATCCAAATTCTCGCTCGGCCTGCTTAGGCCGGACCCTTTCCCGGGTGCCTGGACCCAGAAACACACCCGGCAGCCGTTCTCACAACATGGGTTGGAAGTACTGCACAAGCCAAATTTTCAAAAACCCTAAGCCCTAAAACCCTAAACAGAAGAGTAGCCGCAATAGCCCTTAGAGCATGAGCAAGCCTTCTGGAGGCCCGCAACCCGCAACCCGCAGGATCTTGCCGTCACCACCAAATCCACGATTTGGGGATACGGGTTTCGGGTTTCGGGTTTAGGGTTTAGGGTTTCGGGTTTCGGGTGTAGGGTTTAGGGTTTAGGGTTCAGAAAAGCCCAAGCAGGGATCAAGCGGCGTGGAGCCTGGTTCAGGCACAGGCTGGGAATAAGCAAACCAAACCGCCAGTCTTGGCTGGTTGTGTCTTCGTCAACAAAACGCCTTCGCGACATATGCCGACCCTCCCCCATCCCCCACACCCCTGATTGTGCCGGGTGCCCCTAAACCCTAAACCCGATATAAAGCTAAACTTATAAGCCCTAAACCCTGAACCCTAAACCCAAGAAGCCTTGGGGTTTGAACGGGGTGGGGGAGGCTTGCAGCTCTGCGCTGGCGGCAGGGCCTTGCTGTTGGTCTTCTGCAGCTGGGATGCGGAGCCTTCCCTGGAGGCGTTAAGCCCTAAGCTTCTACCTTAAGAACCCCCCTAGGACCCAGAGTAGGTCCTTATTGTTTTTTCGATGTTCTCAGCAGATGCAATGCCGCGTAGTCGTGAAGCACGGAATTTCCCCTTTCTTGGGGGGTTTGGGTTCCCTTACTTCTACACCCCTTGAAACCAGAAAAGGGCACCCTGTTTATGCCTGATTAGGTTCCTCTTGGGTCTAGCTTCTTTGCAGGTTAGTACTCTAAAACTCCTTGTTTGTAGGCTTCTTCGGTAGCCTACAAAAAGGGGCTCGGACCCTTACAAGGGACCTTACGGGTTACTTGGGGCTTATTTATATAAGGTATATGTAGGGGTTGATGTATCGCTTGTGAAAGCAAAAATGCAACTTGCGACATGTGTTTTTTGCACGAGCCTTGTGTGTTGTGAGCACTTTGCAATTCGCAAAGCCTGTCGTTTCTTGTTATGTTGATAAGACTGCGTTTTGTTGTGTTTTTCATTATGGGGTTTCTTTGTAGCGATTGCCTTAACCAAGATCCATGTTGACAACTGGGTATACCATCGCAAATCACTTACCCTAAGCCCTAAACCCTAAACCCGAAACCCTAAACCCTAAACCCTAAACCCTAAACCCTAAACCCTAAACCCCGGCTTGATAATCAAAGCCCTAAGAAAACCCAAAGTCCTGGAACCTCTGAGCCCCTGAGTGTTAAACTCTCAAGCCGTACAAGCCTCCCATCATCCGGAACCCTAAACCTCCAAACCTCTGGAGGTCTCCCTACCTGGGTCCCTGTTTAGGGTTTAGGGTTTAGGGTTTAGGGTTTAGGTTTTAGGGTTTAGGGTTTAGGGTTTAGGGTTTATCTACCTACGGTTTAGTAGTAACTACTCGTTTATTCGTACGGTATAAACCGGAGGACTTGGACAAAGATTACTGCGTCAAGCTGGCAGACAGCATTCAGCAGGCTCTTCAGAGTGTGTGTGAGGACGACGAGGAGCTTTACATCCGTTTAGGGTTTAGGGTTTAGGGTCTAGGGTTTAGGGTGGGCTCCTTCCATGCAGAGAGCTTTGAGGTACCTCCAGGAACCTTTTCCGGACATCATGCTGATCGGACGAGACCCGGCGCACACCGTCCGAAAGACGACAGCCCATAAAATCCCTTCAAAGGAGTTTGTAGGGCCCCAGGGGGCTCTTTAACCCTCAACTCTAAACCCTAAACCCTAAACCCTAAACCCTAAACCCTGCTAAGAACCAGGAAGTTAAACCGTGGGTAAAGAGAGTCCCAGGTAAGTTTAGGGTTCGCGGGCGAAACTCAGGCCGGGACCCGCGCGAGTTCGGCCCCGCTACCCGCACACAGCCCGCACCTCGGGGGGGGGGGGGGGGGGGGTCAAAGAGTCTTCAGGCTAGGGTTTAGAGTTCAGGGTTCATGGTTTAGGGTTTAAGGGTTGGGGTTTAGCGTTCAGGGTTGACGAGCCCCCTGTTTCTTACGGTAGTAATTTGGGAACGAGAGAATTAGGGCCCTATACATACCCTTTTAGGGGATTGTATAGGGTACCTTATTCCCCTCATTCCCTATGAGAAACCAGCCAGGGAGTCTGTAGGTCAGGGGATTGGAAGGCTTTGATAACAGCAAGCTTCCAACATATTCTTAAATCAAGTTAGCGCAAGATGCAGGGCTTGCACGGTTTAAGAATTAAGGTTTGTGATCTCAGCAACAAAAACTCATCTAAAGCCCTTGAACCTTGAACCCCTAAACCCTACATATCGAATCCCGAGGTGTAAAACGCCTTAAGCCCTAAATTTCCTAACGGCCTTACAAAAAGCCCTATATAAGCCCGAAACCCAACCCCCCCCCCCCCCTAAACCCTAAATTCCCAAAAGCCCTTAAACTCCAAATTTCCTAACTAAAGCAACCTCATAAAGTAACCTTAAACCCCACCCGCAGCAGGAGCCTATTAAAATTTGGGGCTCAGAGGCTGTCAGGATTAGGGTATGGGGTTTAGGGTTTAGGATTTAGGGTTTAGGGCGAATTGGGGGCCTAGGCACATTGGCTTAGGGTTTTCGTGTAGCCGCATGCAAAAGGTCACTACCCTGCCTTCATCTTGTCATTGGAGCCCCTAAACCCTAAACACTAGAACCCCAGACCCGAAGCCCTGAATCCTAAGCACCCCAAGGCACCCCAAAACTCTAAACCTTACAAACCCCAAACCTTCTAATCCCTCAACCCTGTAAACCCATGCCCCTAAATCATACAAACCCTAATTCTTCGCAACCCTACACCTAGAACAAGTCTAAACCCTAACCCCCAAACCCTAAGCCCTGAACCCTGCAGCTCCAGTTCAGACTCTTATTATGGGCTTTTCGCCCCAAGCGCCCAGGTTCGGCAGCCAAAAAGTCGGAGACGTGCGCCGGAGGTTTGTGGAGGCCAGGACTTCGGTTTGGGTGTTACTTAGGTCTGGTACAAGACTTGAGGTACATTGCCCTTTCACGGAGTCTGAGGTTTACTCTAGGCAGGCCCGGTAAACTGAGAATTCGGGGAATTTCCGGGGCGAGTGCGAGAACCCTAAACCCTAAACCCTAAACCCTAAACCCTAAACCCTAAACCCTAAACCCTTCTTAAGCTGGACGAATCCAAGCCCAGAAGTTGAGGTCACAGGGCGACCGTTGGGTTGCTCCAAAGTTTCAAGTACGGGCCCCACGTATGGGCCATGTAACCTAAACACGAAACACACCCCAAACCCTAAACTCTCAACCCTGAACCCTAAACCCTAATCCTAGCTTTGAGCTCCTTATATGCGAGCTACCTCCTCGTTTAGGGTTCCTACATTCTCGCCCAAGAAGGCTAAGGGCTCATACTTGTCACCGTAGATGTTCAGGGGTTCAGGGTTTGGGGTTTACGGTCCAGGGTCGAGGGTTCAGGGTTTAGAGTTTAGGGTTTAGGGTTCAATCCTCCGCCCTAAGCCTCATTTTGGCCAGGAGTCGCTGAAAGACTTGGACAATCAGCTGGCGCCTTGGCTTGTAAACCGTGATTGGATACCACGTGGGTTTGGGGTTTAGGGTTTAGGGTTTAGGGTTTAGGGTTTGGGCTATGTTGGTCTAGGGTTCAGCGCTTAGGGTTTGGGCTTGGGAACACTGACACAGCCCTTAAGCCTGAAGCCGTAAACTTTGAATCCTAACCCACAAAACTCAATCAAACTAATAACCCTAAACCCTAAACCCTAAACCCTAAACCCTAAACCCTAAACCCAAAAAGCCGGCAACCTTCAACTCTCAACCCGAAAGCCCCTAAAGCCTAAACATCAAGGCCCCAAACCCTTACCTGTCACCTTGAACCCTAAACCCGAAGCCCTATAGACCCTAAACCCTAAACCCTAAACCCTAAACCCTAAACCCTAAACCCTAAACCCTAAACCCTAAACCCTAAACCCTAAACCCTAAACCCTAAACCCTAACCTTCAAACCCTGCAAGTATCCCAGGTCGATCGCGGATCCCGGCTTTGCGTTTTCAACTCGCCACCAGAAGAGGCGCAGTTTGTGGGGCACAGATTTCAGGGCCTCCAGGGCTTTCGGGTTTTTAGTTTAGGGTTTAGTATCTAGGGTTTAGGGTTTAGGGTTTCTAGTTTAGGGTTTAGGTTTAGGTTTACTTGCAGGGGTGTGAATCCCTTTGGTGTTTTCAGTAGGGTGATAAGCATCTCAGTACGGGTTACACGCTTCCTTTCTTACAACCTTGCTTGTAACCACCCATGAACCTTGAAGTAGCGTTTTGTCACACCAGCTCTGACAAAAGGTTCTGTAGTCAGGTCTACAGCCGCTGAGTACGCCGGATCTTCTTTCTGTAGATCTTCAGAACCCTGAGCCCTATAAGCCTCCACTAGAAAATGACCGCGCTTTAGAGCTTGTGTCTTGGAGGTGCAGGGTTGGGGCTGGAGGGGTGGGAAGGTGACAGAGGTTCTGAGTGCTCGACTAAAGGGGGAAAGGGCCATGAATCCCCCTAAACCCTAAACCCTAAACCCGAAACCCTAAACCGTTGGTTCAGGTCCCTCTTGGTGGCCAGAGGGTTCGTGGTGGAGGGGAGTGAAGAGGATGGGCGAGCGAGGGTCAACTGCTTACTCAAAATGGCCTGAAACCTCAAACCCCAAAACCATAAACTCCTAGACCCTCAACCCCTAAGCCGTAAACCCTAACCCCCCCCTTAAAACCTAAACCCTAAGCCCTAAACCCTAAACCCTAAACCCTAAACCCTAAACCCTAAACGAAGCTTCTAGCATCCTCCGGTCTGTCGGAAAAACCTCGGCTCAGGTTTTCCCGGCGCTCTGCGCCGCCACTGGGGCACAGGAAGTCCTGGCTGGGGCGCAGTTTTGCCCAGAGGACTCGGGTTCAAGCCCTAAACCCTAAACACTAAACCCTGAACCCTGAACCCTAAACCCCAATCCCTAAACCCTAAACCCCAATCCCTAAACCTCAGGACCCTAAAATCCTCAAAGCCATGTTGAGGGTTTTAGGGCTTAGGGGGCCTTCTTCTGGCGTATCGGCTTTCCGAGGTTTTGGGATTCAGGAGTTCAGAGGTTTAGTGTGCAGAGTTTGGGGAGCTGTTGGCTGTCTTTAAGACCCACGATAATCGCTTAAACCCTCCCTAAACCCTTAACCCCAAACCCCAAACCCTAAACCCTGAACCCAACCCCCCCCCCCCCCCCCCCAGTTAGACTCTAAGGCCCTTTCTGCAGGAGCTCAAGGGATTAAAACTCTTACCCTTAAGGTTGTCCCCATAATCCTAGTATGGCCCTTATACCACCGTAAGGATCTTACACACAGGTCCCCAAAACCCAAGGGTACAACCTCATGGGTCCAAGGTCGTCCCTTAGGCAAACCCTAAACCCTAAACCCTAAACCCTAAACCCTAAACTCTAAACCCTAAACCCTAAACCCTAAACCCTTAACCCTTAACCCTTAACCCTTAACCCTTAACCCTTAACCCTTAACCCTTAACCCTAAACCGAACAGACCCCAGCTAGACTCTGCGGCCCTTTCTACAGGAGCGGCGTGCGGAAACTGTGACCGCCGCGGCCCTGGCCGCGACTGGGGCCTCCCTGCGCCTGTCCGACCCGGGAGGCCACCAGGTTGAGTTTAGGGTTTAGGGTTTAGCGTTTAGGGTTTAGGGTTTAGGGTTTAGGGGTTAGGGGTTAGGGGTTGGGGGTTGGGGGTTAGGGGTTAGGGGTTAGGGTTCAGGGTTCTTCAGGGTTCAGGGTTCAGTGTTTAGGGTTCCGGGTTTAAGGGGTGGACTAACGCCTCATGATGCAACTTCAGCATCAAGCACCCCAAACCCCTAAACTCTGAACCCCAAACCCTAAACCCTAGACCCTAAACCCTAAACCCCCACACCTGCCACAGGCATCACAACGCTGCTGGGCGCCGAGGACCTCCGCCGTGCTGGGCTGCCGGCCACTGAAGCCGAGTCCGCCATTGCCCAGTTGATGGGTTTAGGGTTCAGGGTTGAGAAAGGGTTTCGGGTTTAGGGTTCAGGGTTCATTTAGTTTGAGTCACCTCACTGAAAGCAGAGTGTTTGGCACACCGCGGGAAGTTGGGAGGTCGTTTCGGGTCCACGGCTTTTGGCCGCCAAAAATCTGGGTTTTGCCGGGTACTGTACCATTGTTGGGAGTTCCTTTATTGTGTTTGTTGGTTGGGAGAGTCGTTTTCGGCTTTAGGGCCCTTTTAGGGCGTTCCCGATTTTTTGGGAATGCCCATGTGGGTTTTCGTCTTTTTGTTTTGCACCCAGTTTGCCTGATCGTCAAGGCATGGTTATGAGCAGTTGTTTGATCCGTACCAGTCTTTAGTAGGCAACTACGGCATTTAATACGCCCTGTAGTAGTTGTTTTTTGGTGAGGGTCTAGAGCGCAGGGTTTACTCGGCATCTATGCTACAGGTATGGCAGATTCAGAATTCAAGCGGTCTTAGGGCGTCAGGGGCTTCATTTTTTGGCTTTAGGGGCTCATAGGTTTTAGGCTTTAGGGGCTAGGGCGTTTTGGGTTCAGGGTTTACGGGTTTTATGGTTTTAGGGTTGTGAAGTTGCGGGTTTAGGTTTTTGTTTTGCTGTGGTCGGCGGCAGCCCTTAACGCAAAGCTCGGCAATCCACTGAGGCCTCAGCCCCAAAGCCTAAAAGGCCTCCTAAACCCTGTACACCCCATAGGACGGAGGCCCCACAGGCCCCACAATCCCTACCCTGCAGACCCTGTCAGCCTTACAAACCCTGCCCTAGAAGTTGAGATGTTCCCCCCTATACTGACAGTCCTTAATAGGGAGTATAGTACCCCTTCTTACAGTCCCTATTAAGGACTGTTAGTAGAAGGGGGAACATCCCAACCTAGATTCCCTAAACCCTATCAGCCTTACAAAGCCTAGAAGCCCTAAAGCCCCAGGTAAGAGCCATGGCACTATGAATAGGAGCCCTAGATGTGTTCCAGCGTGGCCAGGTTCCCCGAAGACTTCCAAGCCTTCTACCAGCCAGTGCGCAGCATGGCTCTTACTTAGGGTTTAGGGTTTAGGGTTTAGGGTTTAGGGTTTAGGGTTTAGGGTTTAGGGTTTAGGGTTTAGGGTTTAGGGTTTAGGGTTTAGGGTTTAGGGTCTATCTTGGGGTGGTTACATGGTCCCTTAGTCAGGGCCCTGAAAAGTCGACAGTGGCCCTCGTATAACCTTAATATACCCTATACATATTGGAGGCCGTTGGTTCCCTTTCAATACGAGCCTTAGGCAACCTGAAAGAACGCAGGTTTTTTCTCTTGCTATGCCCAGGTTCATTTCTGGTTCGCCAATTACTGCAACTGGGGTTATTCCCCCGTTTCGGGTTGGCTGTTTATTCATAATTGTTGGTATAATAACCCCAAGCATTAGAAGCAAAAAACTCGCTTCGTTTCTGCTGCTACTGTACTATTTGCTTCAGAACCCACCCCAAAAAGACAATTATTTTACTTCGAACATCCCCACCTTGCTGCTGGTTCAAAAGAACGCAAATAAGATGTTCAAACAAAGACACATTGATTCAATTGCTCTTTCTTAGTTTTTGCTTGCAATTGGGGTTGGGCACTCCAGGGACACTCTGGGGTTGGGCACTCCAGGGAGACACTGGGGTTGGGGGGTTTTTCAGGGTCTCTGGAATTGGTCGCTCCAGCGAGTCTCTGGGGTTGGGCACTCCAGGGAGTGTCTGGGGTTGGGCACTCCAGGGAGTCTGCTTGTGGCGAAGCGCAGCCGTTGCCAGCGGCATCCAGCAGTTTATGCATCGCTTTTGCCAAGGAAAGCGACGACGTCCTCGTCGTTGAATTCGCCGTCCTGGGTGCATGCATGTACTACACCACAAGACTTGTAAATTAGGGTTCGGGGGATACACTGGAAAGTTCAGGAATTGTTCATGCCTTCTGCATAGCCGAATCACATGGCAGCATGTGTTCATGAAGCTCCAGCGGGCTTGGGGCGTCGGGGCTAAAACTGATTCCAGGTTTCGGACGGAGCTTTTTAAGTCTGCGTGTGAATTGTGCTATTTCGATGCCCAGGCACGCTACCCCATGCACATCATGCAAGATGCCCCGAAGTCACTATTCCCCACAACATCCTGCAAACGAACTTTCAGCAGAGAGTGCCTGTGCCGAGGGGCGCAACACACCCGAACCTTATGAGCATCTCTCAAGTTTGACGGCACCGTCTCATGCACTTCTTGGCCACAAGACTGTCACAAGCTGAGGCCTCAAGAGGTTCACAGCAAAGGTACTCGTGGCCCAACTGGAGCAAAAAGATGCATGGCTCTATGCAACTGCTGAAGCAGCCTGGTGTCTTTGCCGTGGAGGGCTGCATGCAAACAGCATTACAAAGCCATCTTGACGTACTCTCCCAAACTCAGCATCGTGCTATTGCTGTGATTAAAGAGCGTATTGATATTGTGTGAAGAGAAAGAGCGCGCTAATTTGTAATGTAATGAACGCAGTGAATGAAAGCACGAACTTAGCACGCGAATGAACGTGAGGCCCCTTTGTAGTATATGTTCATAGGGCCCCTTTTGCTTTACCTCTTTTTTCTGAGGCATTTTTAATATCTGAAATTGGACATTTTTAGGAACCCCAGTTTGGGTTTGTGCATACGGTTCCGCGGTGATATTGATACTGATACTGTCAATCCCCAGATAGGGATGTCAGTGAAACGTTTGTCTTCTTCTAGACTTTCAGCGAGAAACCCACACATTTGGGATTTGTGTTTTCTTTGCATGTGATGTTAGTGTCGATACCACATGGCATACCCGCAACGTTATTACATGGCCCTACGACTTCTTCGCTGTTGAGAGATTGTACAGTCCGATGTGTCGGGCCCTGCCTGAATCATGGGACCTCTTGAATGTTTGGACGAGTGGCAATGGATACTGAACGCTTCTGAACAGAGGTCACGTGCCTACTGCCATGTAATCGCTCATGAGGCCTTCATTGCGGTAACACTATGCGATAAAGTACAGGATTGAACATCCCTGGCCCCTTAAACTCTAAACCCTGCCGATACTTCAACCAGCAACTGCAACCCCAAACCCGAAGCCCTGAACCAAACCCTACCCTCAACCCCTAAAGCAGACTTCTACCTCTTCCGGCTCCTGTGGAGAAGCTTCACTTTCAGGATGCACCTGGCCTTGGCTCAGAATTCAAGATTTCATGTTTGGGGTTTAGGCTGCTCCATATCGGAAGTTTATGGGTGTCATAAGGGCTACTTAATTTGTGGCCTTTCGGGTTTTCAAAAAATATTCACAAGATGTAGACTTTCTCAGCACAAAGCCGCAGAAAAGATTGCGTTCGTCAGGATGCTATCACGTGTGGCAAAGTCCTGTCCGCGAAGGCTTTAGAGCCAAATGCTGACACCTCTCCTTTCGGATAGTTCATCCCATAGCCCAAGGACCCGGGCTATGCCACATCTAAGAGGGAGACGGGACCTGGGAGGGGCTTCCCTGTCCAGAACTGGGGAGCTGCACTAAGCATCAACCCCTACACACTAAACCTCGAAAACACACGCAGAATACTTCAAGATTTCTTGCACCAGCAGGGTCACTTTCGAATCTGCGTCTAGTCCCAAAAGCTACTTACAGTAACAAGCGCTGAACCCTAGACCTGCTACTCGTGAAAGCTGCCAAACGCAAAGTCCACATCCGCCTGCTTTGGGAATTCAAATCCGGATCTTCGCCATGTGAACGAAAAGCGCCACATCTGCCATCCAGATCCTGGCGGCGCAGGCATTGTTTGGAACTCTAAACGTGCGCAAATTCTACTGGGTTGCTGTTAAGAAACTTAATTTAAGTTACTTTATCGGGTAAACCATATTGACCTAAATTTGAGTACCCTAACAGCAACCCAGTCTCGGTATTTAAGTTCCTTAACAGCCACCCAGTCTAGGCACTGTAGAAACCTGAATGATTATAATGGTCACATATTCTTTGTATATCTATAGTATAGAGCATCTGAAACAGACCTCAGCATTATGTTGGTAATTATCTTGGCGAACCTTTCAAGCGACATGCTATACTATAGTCCCCGTACCCCATTCCCCTATGATCACAAAGACATCCTTTCGCAGCAGCAAAAGTCATAGCCCGACAGCGTAAGGGACCCCTATAACGCCGACCAAGATATCCGGAGTGGGCAGTTTTCCTGGAGCTTGTACGGTGGCTTCTTTGCGGAATCGCAATGCCTAAGCCTGAAAACATGAGACAACTACAAATTTCAAGCAACCTGCAGATGGGTGGTTATCAGCGGGAACCGTTAAAAAGAGCCTATATAGACCTCACACAGCTCCAGTGCCCTTCCTGGAACCTATCCACACGGGGATGTCCTTGGAAGTTCATGATCCAAAGATAGGATTCAAGCAAACGTGGGCATAATCATTTACCACTGCGTAGTCCAAGTTGCTGCCATTTCGTTGTCCATGTTTTTGCGGTTTGATTTCCATGATTGGGGGTAATATGTCCCCATACATGCTTGTACATCCCGCATGTGAGAACCTGAAATCGTGCCTGTGCTAGGAGGACTTTGACCATTGTTCGCCTCGCGCAACTCTTCTGAAGGCAGCAGGCTGTGCCCACATCACAGGCTTAGCATTGTTTGTATATAAACTCAGGGCTTGAGGCAGCACGTCATCCAAGCTGGCGTCTCAGGGTTAGAAGGATACAACACCGTACACATGTATGGGGATACACTGAACTTATGACAGTCTTTCTTCCAACATGTCGACAAGATCTCACACAAGCTTCAAGGCCTGCGAGACAGGTCGAAGCAGCTTCCATTCTCCCACCCATGCTCTATGCTCTTCTGTAGACTACTCTGCTTGAAAGACATACCAGTAGTGGTACCCTAATTTCCGGAACCCCCTTAACCCTGAACCCTATACCCTTGTTATCCTACGGCTTAGGGTTTCGGTCTGCCGGGATTGCAAGATGCGATTGTACTTACACAGGCCTAGGCATGCATCTTACGAAGCAGAGTGTTCAAGGTCTAGGGCTTGAAAGTAATGATAAGGGCCTATCGGGTATTGCCTAGTTGAGGGCTTTGGGCTGGGGCCCATAGGATATTGCCTGGTTAAAACGTGCATTCGCCTGCCTAGCTTCCAGCTAGTTTCTACGTGGCAGTGGATCGGAAAACGCAGGACATGTCTCGCCCAAAGGCCTTACGTAACTGCTGTGCCAAATACATCCCTACGGCCCAGGCCTACAATTTCAAATGCAAAGCTCAAACCCCTAAACTCACTATAGTCGCGCAACCTAAGCCTAAGACCTAAACCCTCAACCCTAAACCCAAGAACCTCCTAGTATAACTCCCATGTAATCCCTGTATAACCCTCTAAGCCCCGTATATATGAGGAAGCCTTAAACCCTAAACCCTAACTGGCTGCCAGGGCCTGTCCCCTGCCCGGGCCATAGCTGCTGCCCAAAGGGTCCCTTGCACACGTGGAGGGTCAGGGGGACTTTGTAAGTAGCTCTATAACCCACTCAGCTTAGGGTTTAAAGGTCCTAAGTAAAGGCCACCACAAAATGAGGCTTTGTTGAGCGGGGATTATCAGAGCTTGTTAGGCTTCACTAGTGAATCTGGTCTTGCAAGCCCTCATAAGCCTTGTCCATGGCACGGCATGGATAACTTTAAGCTGGCAAGCAGCCCAACTCGGCAGGAAACTCAATCCCCACAAATGTACAAGTGCCCCAGCTCGTCTGAGCCAGCCAGAATCAAGCCCCACCAACCTGAGCAAAGTTCCTGCTTCTGGTGTGTCAGAGAAATCTTTGAAGGGTCCATTCTTGGGATTTTTCGGGGGACTGGACTGTACAGAGCTGTAAGTTTAGCAGCCCCTTGGTTTCGGCCGCGATAGGTAGGTGAAGGTTAGGCATTGGATTCGACACAGCTAGCTTTTCAGATGGAACTTTTGATATCCCACTTTCGGAGGACTGCCTGAGGTGTTCGGTTTTGCAGTTGTATTGCGTCGTGTGTCTTCAGAATGGCATTAACGCTACACCATATCAGGTGCTAATTCTTCAGCGGAATTCCCTTGTCAGAGAAAGGGCATTCCGAAGTTGATCGCAAATGTGTACAAGATGATATATAGCAATGAGGGAAAGGAAAAGAGAAACTATGTATTGCATGGGGTTATCATCTTGCATATTTTTTGAAAACCCCGAAGCCACAAACTAAGTAGCCCTTATGACATGTTGTATCCAAGGCCCATAAATCCAAGGTGCTGGTGATCCAAGGCGCACCGGTGCGATCATCGAGATGCAAGTTTGGGACTAAAGTGTACATATGATGTCACAAAAAGTGTGGTGGATACCAGCTGCAATGGCATTGCCCAGGTACTCCACATGCAGGTACGTTATCCTCCCAACTCATAAGCAGCTTCGTTGGCAGTGAGCTTATGAGTGGGTCACTGCCCCCTGCAGATTCGAAAATTCGAAGAAAGGGGGTTGGGCACTCCTGGGAGTCTCTAGGAGTAGACCGCGTGAGGAGAAGAGTTCCGGGCGAGGAGAAGAGTTGAGTTTAATGGAACAAGCCCACACCGAAGGTGGGAAAGAATACAACAATAAAAACAAATACATCTTCTCCCTTATACTGGTAATATAGGGAGTATTGCCTTTCCTTTTTTTCTCTTTGTTTTTTTTGGCCGGGGGGGGGGTGTTCTTAAACGAATAGTAGTACTGGAGCATCATTGTGTTCCAGGTTCATTGGTTCCCATACTACCCCCCTCTGTACAACCCCCCCATAATAAAGGCCATTTACGGATAAGTAAGCCTGACGAAGGTTAGAAAAGGTTATGGGGGGGGGGGGGGGGGCTAGGGGGGGTAGTAGGGAAACCCATGGAGGTTAAGGCCCGGAGGTGTGGGTGTCCTTGGGCCCGGTGGCTGAGTCTGGCTTGGCAAATTCGGAGCTTTCACTTCGGTGTTCACCCTAAGCCCTAAAGCCTAAAGCCTAAAGCCTAAAGCCTAAAGCCTAAAGCCTAAAGCCTAAAGCCTAAAGCCCACACCCTAAACCGTAAACCTTAAACCCTAAACCCGAAACCCGAAACCCGAAACCCTAAACCCTAAACCTTAAACCCTAAACCCTAAACCCTAAACCCTAAACCCGAAACCCTAAACCCTAAACCCTACGCATACATGACATTGAGGCCTCCCAGACAAGCGCCCACTAGTTGTCTAGCGCACTAGCTGCGAGGCTTTGTTGTTTAGATCCACTAATGGGGTTCAAGGTCTAAGGGTTAGGGTTTAGGGTTCGAGGGTTCGAGGGTTCGAGGGTTCGAGGGTTTAGGGTTCAGGGTTTAGGGTTTAGGTTCATGGGGCACCTCGCAAGTCCCAAGAACTCGCAAGGACCGCTCCTCCATGCAATCTGCGAGCAAGGCGGGTTGCTGCTATGGTTCAGGGGCTTGTGACATTGTGGACACCCGGAGTCCCCTAAACCAAGGGTGTAGGACTAAGAGTTTGGGGATAAACTCCTGATTTGTGCAAGCCTACGGTAGGCATAGGGTTATAGGGTTTAGAAGTTAGGGTTTAGGGATGATAGAATCAGGGAGAAACGGAGGGCCTCCGTATAGCGACAAGCATAAATGCCACAACGCGAACCCGAAACCCTTAGGCTTTTGCTTTTGTCGCGGGCTTAGGGTCTGACAAGGGGGTTTTAACCCTAGACTTTCCCTAAGCCTTGTAAACCCTAAACCGCATGTTAACATCCAGGGTTGCGACCATGGCGTATGACCCCAAGTCAACCCTAAACCCTAAAAGCTTGACCCGTGAGCCTGAAACGCAACTCTGGCCTATCGTCTCCCTACGGGTTGCAGGCTTTAACTGGCTGAGGGATTTAAAGGGTGTGGGTGAGCTTGAAGTTTAGGGTTTCACGTGCGGAGTTTCGGTTTTCGAGTTCAGGGTAGAGGGCTTAGGGTGTAGGGTTTAATTCGGGTGCGAAAACCCTCGTTTTTTTCAGGTCTCTGCGAGGCACCGGCAACACTGCCGGGGATGCCGGAAACGTTACCAGCTGATCTGCAGCCATGCAGGCCACATGGGCAGATGCATGCGTGGGGGTTTAGGGATTATGGGCTTTATAGGGTTTGTGAAGCCCACTTACAGGGTTCACAGGGTTTAGGGCTTAAGCTTCAAAGCACTCAATCCGTATCCCTACGAGCGTTTACACCTTTGCACCTCACATGCTGAAGTACTCGTACTAGTTGCTGAGGACCCGATATAAAAATGAAAGCATAAGGTCGGGCTGTGTTATTAAGGATCCCAGCCCAGGGTAGCTGTAACGCTACTTAAAGACCTACTGGCAAATTCTCCCTCAACCTACTTTCGGAACTGAGCAGTTTAGTGAGCAACGAAGAGCCTAAATACCCTAACCCGTAAACACCCTTGAGCCCGAAACTAAACCCAGCCCTACTACTAATATACCAAACCCGACACCATATATCTCGCCATCTCGTGTCAGCAAACCCTACTTGGAGGTTCAGGGTACTGAGAACGCCAACTATACGTCTACTTAAAACCAACTTGCGGACTTCGGGGGGAAGTACAGTTATGATTGGGTTCATAAGTGCCAGGGTTTAGGGTTGAGGGTTTAGGGTTTAGGGTTTTGGGTTTAGGGTTTAGGGTTCCTTGGAGCTCTAAGCAAGCCCCAGACTTACGCCCAAGTCAGAGCATGCAGGCTGGATGTGGACCAGGATACCGGTGGAGGTACGATTACAGGACGGGCAAGCGCGCAAGACCCTGACCCCTAAACCCTAAACCCTAAACCCTAAACCCTAAACCCTAAACTCTAAACCCTAAACCCTAAACCCCACACCCCAAACCCGAAACCCGAAACCCCGAAGCGAGCAAGGCTAAACCCGAAACCCCGAAGCGAGCAAGGAACACAACTTTGAACCTAAGCTCACACAACCTAAGCTCAACCTCCTGTGTTTTGAATGACATAAGCTCTAAACCATGGGAAGCGACGGTGGTTAGCATCTGGCCAGAAAACCGGGCAGCGAGAGACGGCAGACTGTTGACAACATCCGCCGTCAACCGAGATTTCTCCGGCATTGCGCACGCAGGGCAGCTACAGGTCGGCGGTGTCCGGCACGAACGATTGGCAGGAATCTCGACCGAGGTTTGGCAACCGCAAGCACGTGGAGGAAGCACTCGGCATGCCCGATGTAAACCCCAAACCTCGCCGGGGTTTAGAGTTTAGGAAAGTTTAGGGCCGAGGGATGTTCAGGGTTTAGGGTTTGGGGCTTAGGGTTTCAGAGAAAGCCCGAAACCCTCATGAGTAAAGCCTGAGCCCAAGCTCAAACTCCAAAGACCTAAATCCCTCGAGCTGTGTTTTATAAGAGGCCCCCAACAAGAGACCTCTTTTTGTATGGGGTTTAGGTTTAGGGTTAAGACCCTAAACCCTAAACCCTAAGGTGTTAGGGTTCAGGGTTTTGGCTTTAGGGTAGGTACCTGAGGGGGAGCTCAGGGAAGCTTAGGGAGCCTTGGAGCCTTAGGGAGTAGTGGGGAGGATTAGGGAGCCTTGGGTTACATAACCCCCATTGAAGCCCCGCTCCCTTGAGGACCCTATAGGTTAGGGTTCAAAGCTTAGGTTTCGAGGTTCATTGTTTCAGGATCCCCTAAGTAAAAAATGAAGATCCGTACTAGGGGTAAATTCAGGGAGCCGCAGGAATTTGAAAGCTCTATGTTGAGCCCTTACCTATGTCCTAGAAGGGCGACCACCTTAGGGGTTGGTTGAACCCTAAACCTCAAACCCTAAACCTAAACACTGAACCACAGCAGAGTTCTTGTAAGGGCTCGTGGCTCACAGGGGTGTCGTTGCTACGGGAGGTCGCTTTTTGTTGTTGAAGGCCTAGGCCCCGGCTTCGTCGTCTAGGGTTTAGGGTTCAGGGTCCCTGAACCCTAAGCCCTAAGCCCTAAGCCCTAAGCCCTAAGCCCTAAGCCCTAAACCCTAAACCCTAAACCCTACATGGGGTTTTGGGTTTATGGCCTCCGGCCCTGAGCTGCGGAGGAGGCGAGGCCGCGGCGAACCGCCGTTTGCGGACGTGGATGGAATCCGGCATGTGCAGCTACAAGCCGCCAGCCTCAGCTATTCTCAGGTCCTTAGTGCTGTAGCGTTTAGGGTTTAGGGTTTAGGGTTTAGGGTTTAGGGTTTAGGGTCCCTAAGGTCCTTTGGATCCTGAATCCTGAGGGTCCTATAGTGAACCTTCGAGGAGCAGAGGGAGCTAGAGGGACGACTCGGTTCCCCAGCCCCCTAGCCCCGAAGGTTACGCCATTGGCATCTTACCCTAAACCCTAAACCCTAAACCCGAAACCCTCAACCCCAAACCCTACGCCTTAAGCTGGGGGCTGTGGGCCTTGGGGTATGGTCTATAGGTGTAAGAGGACCTTGCATGCGAAGATATGACCTTGAGAGGGTTTGAAGGGCCAAACTTTTTCAGCAGGTTGTGACAGTGGCGAGTGGCCCTCGGCCTGCAAGCAGATCTGCCTTGAGATTGTAGGGCGGAACGCCTTCAACCCTCAACCCTAAAGTCCTAAACCCCAAATCCTTTCTTAAGGTATCGGGGCAGTCTCCGTGAAGCGGTTTGACCCTGGGGGCCGTGTATCCTGAAACGTCGTCCTGCTTCTTTTGGGTTTAGGGTTTCAAATTTAGGGAGCAGCCTGTGCCTCAGATTGCCTCAATCACCTTACATCCTAGTGTTGAGAGCAAACTGCTCACTCCCGGCAACGCCGCGCAGCAACATCTCGGAGGAACATTGAGGAACACCCTAAACCTTAAACCCCAAACCCTAAACCCTCAACCCTAAATCCTAAACCCTAGGGAAAGTCTGCCCCAATATCTCTGACGCCAATGTAGAGTTGAGCAATTCTGACAGATGGCAATGGCACGGGTTAAGGGCTCAAGTTTTCAAACTCGCGGGGGTGCGTGCTGCCTTTTGTGAGGTATACATTCCGGAAGCTCCTCGGTGACTACTCCTCACGCGGCTGGCTTCATGTAAGGTTCCTGCAGAAGGAAAGCCCTGTACCACCCCCAAACCCTGAATCATTATAAGGGTGGTCATATGGTCCCTTAACATGTTCCCTTACTTTCCCCTTTTGATAGCCCATATTAAGGGACCATGTATCACGCTTCATCCTAAGCCCTACGGCCCTAGAAGCCTGAGCACAAGAAGAACCCCTAAACCCTAAACCCTAAACAGCCTGCTGCTGCTGCAGAGAGTGCTTGCAGACAACCCAAAACCCTAAAACCCTAGACCCTAGACCCTAGACCCCAGACACTAGACCCTAGACCCTAGACCCTAAACCCTAAACCCTAAACCCTACACCCTACACCCTAAACCCTAAACCCTAAACCTAAACAACTCTTCTCAACCCTACATGAACCCTCAGGCCTCAGCCCTGAAGCACAGACCCTGGAGGCCTCTCACCGCACCTGGTGTACGGGTGTATCTCCCCGCGGCGTTCCGTGGCTTGCAACACCGCGGGGAAGGGTTTAGGGTTTAGGGTTTTTTGGTTTAGGGTTTCGGGTTTACGGTTTAGGGTTTAGGGTTAAGGGTTTAGGGTTCAGGACACAGCCTTTGGGGTTTGGGCTTTGGGCTTTGGGTAGTATGTCTGGGCTCAACTCAACGCCTCAACCCCTCAACCCCTCAACCCCAACCCAAGGAAGAGGGTCCACAGCCTCTCTCTCACAGCCGCGACCGCTCAGGGCTCGTTTGGACAGCTCTGCGGCACCCGCGCAAAGACGCGGCGGCGATGCACATCGAGCAACGCGGCCGCAAGACATCAGCCCTAAACCCTAGCGCTAAACCTTAAACCCTAAACCCTCAACCCTCAACCCTAAGCCCGAAACCCTAAACGCTAAACCCTAAACCCTGAACCCTCAGCAACTCTTATCAACCCGCATTGCTGCATTAACCCTCGGGCCTCAGCCCTGCAGAAATCCCTACACCCTGCACCTTTCAGAGAAGGGCAGCCTTCTCATGGAACTATATCCCCCTTGGGAATTATTTGTTTATTTTGATTCGTATCAAACCCAAGAGGATATTAAACATGCTTTTTGTTAAGGTTCTAAGGGGAGTATAGGGAACCCTAAAACCTTAAACCCCCTAAGCCCTAAACCCTAAACCCGAAAATCCTAGAACCCGAGGTTTTAGGGTTTTAAGGGTTAGGGCTTAGGGTTCAGGGGTTGCCGCGTGATTTTTTTCACCTCGCGGGGTCACCAGACCCTGAACCCTGAACCTGAAGGAGGGTTTAGGGCCTGAACCTGAAGGCCCTGACACCGTAAACACTCAGTCCCTGAAGTCGTTATAGGTTTTAGGGCGTAGGGTTTATTCAAGGAGGGGCCCCCTTACTATACTAACTATAGTTGAGGGACTTATCACCTAATTTAGCGGCCTTACAACCCCATTGTAGGGCCCTTGTAACTCTACTTATAACTTGGGGGGCCCCTCCTTGTAGGGTCTATATAGGGGTTCAGGGGTTTTTTAGGGCGATTTAGTGGTTTTTAGGGTTTAGGGATGATCCCCCCCCCCCCCCCCCCCCGCCCCTCCCAAAGCAGGCATTTCGTCTACGAGATGTGCTGGCGCGACTTCTTCCGGCACGTAGCTGCGCGTTGGGGCTCCAAACTCTTCAAGCGAGAAGGCCCTTTGGGGTTTTGGGTTGCGGGGTTTAGGGTTTTTGGGGTTTTGGGTTTCGGGGTTTTTGGGTTTCGGGGTTTTTGGGTTTGGGGTTCAGGGTGTACAGAAACAAGTTTGGGGAGTGCAAATCGGAAACTCTTGAGCCCTCAAACTCTTTATTTAGCCCTCGCCCAAGCCCTAGCTGAACCGTTTTGAAACCCTAAGCCCCGAAACAAACCCAGAACCCGAAGCCCCAAACCTTACACCCAAGAAACCCTAAACCTTGAACCCCTCAAACTGAAACTCTAATGCCCCCAAACCCTAAATCCGAAACGCCCTAAACCCTAAACCCTAAACCTTAATCCTTAAACTGCCTTAAACCCCTAAACCCTAAACGCCAAAGCCCTAAGAAACGCCGCGCAGGTCCCTTGGCATCGGATCGGCCCTGGCGCCGGGATGAAACCCTGGAGCAGAGGCTTCTCCAGGGCTTTGGGGCTTTGGGGTTTAGGGTTCAGGGTTCAGAGTGCAGGGTCAGGAATTTGGCGTAGGGGCTTTAGGCGGTTTGGGCTCTCAACCCTCATCCCGAACCTTTAGGGTCCAGGGCTTCTGGGTTTACAAGGCACGGCTTAGGCATGAGAGTCTGTGGTTTTGAGCGATTTAGGGCTTCCGAGAAGTTAGGAGTTGTGCTTGAGGACTTGGACTGGAGTCCAGGATCCTGAGACCCCGGCACCCGAACAGCACACACATCCCCAAAACCTCGGCTGTACAAGTTACAACCTGCCGGAATCTCTCTAAACCCGTCAAACCCGAAATACCCATCTCTCGAGGTCCCTCAAGCCCAACACCCTTTGCATAAACCCTCTTTAGGGTTTAGGGTTTAAGGTTTAGGGTTTAGGGTTTAGGGTTCAGGGTTCAGGGTTCAGGGTTTGGGGTTTAGGGTTACAGACCCTCTGACCCTAAAACCCTGAAGCCGAATCTTCCAAATATGCACCTGACTTTACGACCGCCATGTCATCCAGCATTGGCGAACTCCAGGGCTTAGGCTTTAGGCTGTGGGGCTCTTTCTCGTGGTGCAAATTCTACTTATCAGGGCACCATAGAAGTCATGTTGCTTCAAAGGGTTTTGGCTTCATTTGGTTTCTTTTAGGTTCCGGGGCTCTACTGGTGATGACCTTTTTGTTCGGTTTGGTGCAATCCCCCAGACTTCAACCGCAAACCTTTGTTGCATATACCTCACATGATTACCCCAAACCCCAAACCCCAAACCCCAAACCCCAAACCCCAAACCCCAAACCCTAAACCCTAAACCCTAAACCCCAAACCCTAAACCCTAAACCCTAAACCCTCACGTAGGTGGAAAGATGGCCTGACGGGCGTGCCTTTGGTGGATGCGGCCGCCCGGCGTGTTAAAGAGCACAGGCCACTAGCACAAAACCTGCACCCCTACCCGAACTAAGGATATATATATATATATATATACATATGTATATGAACTCAGACTATATATCCAAGATTATTCATAGATACATATATATATATATATACATATACATAGACTTAAGATGAAGTGTGTATATATATATACATACATGTAATTCAGTTTCGGCGTTTTGGATCCGAGTCGTTCAGGCCGAGGGAAGGCAAGAAATGGGCAGCGAGCAATGTCGCCACTGCGCGTAGCATGTCTCCTGCTCCCTTCTCACCCTGCATACATACAACGCTACATACCATAAGCTAGGGCCTGGAGTGGACTCTCGTTCCCCCTGTTTACTGGCTTCGGTTCCCATAGAACCTCTAGCAAAGACCGCTGTCTGGGACACCCTAACCCCAAACCATAAACCTTAGAAGTGAAATCCTTAAACCCTAAACGCTAAACCCTAAACCTTCGAAGTGAAATCCTTAAACCCTAGATCCTGAGCCCTAAACCCTAAACCCTAAACCTTAGGAGTGAAATCCTTAAACCCTAAACCCTGAGCCCTGCAAGTAAAGCAAAGAAAAGGGCCAGTCTTCCGAGCTCGTGGACGAGGGTTTAGGGTTTAAGGTTTAGGGTTTAGGGTTAGGGTTTAGGGTTTAGGGTTTAGGGTTTAGGGTTTAGGGTTTAGGGTTTAGGGTTTAGGGTGGGCTGAAAGGCTCAGGGCTCGGGCCTGTTCGCCGACATGTCCCTGAACGCCACAAGCCATGATAGGCCAAGGGTCTGAGATGACAGGCTTCTACGGCTTCTACTCATACAATACATATGTATATATATATATATATATATTCTTATTTATTTCTTTATTTATTTGTTTATACACAAATCTAGCAAAGGGTAGTTTCACGGGCCCTTAATATGGTCCCTTACCTTCTTTGAAGGGTTCTGAAGTAGGCGCCCTTGGGTTGTACAGGGTATGTAAGGGTATATACGGGGGTTCCATTTAAGGCATTTAAGGGCCCATACCAAGGGACCATTTAACTACCCTCAGAATATACGTATATATGTATGTCAGCAGCTCAACGATTTAGAGGCGGGCATACATAGCTGAGGAATGGAGAACGCATGAGAACGCTGCGCCCCCCAACGCCGAAGCGCCCCAAAAACAAAAGCCCAAAGCCCAAAGCCCAAAGCCCTGAACCTAGATCATAAATCCTACACCCTAAGCCCTAAACCCTAAACCCCAAACCCCAAACCCCAAACCTCAAACCCTAAACCCTAAACCCTAAACCCTACAGGACACAAGCCCCTAAACTTTGAAGCTTCGAAGCCCTTGAGGCCATGCGCGAGCTGAAGGTCACAGGTTACATTGGCAGCCGGGCTGTTAGGGTTTAGGGTTTAGGGTTTAGGGTTTAGGGTTTAGGGTTTAGGGTTTAGGGTTTAGGGTTTAGGGTTTAGGGTTTAGGGTTTAGGGTTTAGGGTTTAGGGTGTAGATGTGTCTAGGGTCTAGGGTTTAAGACGATGGCTTGGTCTTTTGGGATGCTTACGGGCTTCCGCTTGCTGAACCGGGTTTCTTAAACCCTTGACACCCAAAACCTCATCCTTGACCCTAGGCTCGAACTTAGAGCCCTGACGCTGCACTCAACCTTAAAAGCCCTAAACCTTAGAGCCCTCAACCCTAAACCCTAAACCCCTGACCCTAAGATATACATTGGAGGGAGAAGGAACGTGAAGCGTTGAGGGGGCGGGGTGGGGGGGGGGGTTGAGTTTCGAAGGGTGGAACGGGTTTAGGGTTTAGGGTTCAGGGTTTTCGGGGGTTAGGGCCTTAGGGAGCCAAAACCCCACATTCCTGACACCTATGTCCCCATTATGGCCGTAGCTGTAAACTAGGGTTTGGGGCTTAGGGTTCAGGGTTTTGGGTTTAGGGTTTAGGGGTTAGGGAACTGAGCGCAGC